ATCCTGACGTGAAATATCAGGTACAGAGCTTTATAATATATTCATATCTACACATACACTTTATAACTTCTTTATCATAGATCACCGTCACCGCAGATTAAACCGTTGTTCTTGCCCTGCTTTTGCACGACACAAACTTGCTTGTAAGCATATGTTTGCACTCGAATTCTATGATCAAAATGATCTCAAAGTCCTTGTCGCCCAATCTGCCTCGATGTTTGATGGTAATCCACCTGAAACCAATACACCAGCAGCAGCAGCCATCAGTCAACAAACACAACGCACACGCATGCTTTCTCCTCTCCGACAATCGCAACAAACTCTCGTTCCTTCTGAGACAAATAAAGAACGTCTCAAGGCAATGCTTTTGCAGATGCAACGGCATTTGAATGACGTTTCTGTGGATACGGCTGATGATGAATCACTAGGTAATATCATTCAGCAGCTTATTCCAATCCAACAAAACCTCAATTGCATTGGTAGTGTCCCCACAAACCGTCGCCTCCAAACACAACGCCATCGCCATTAATATCCTTTGTTTTCCCTTCCTTCTCATCTTCTTCTTTCTATATAATTATCCAATATATCATATTCCTATCCTCTGTTGCTACAGTGAGAAACAATGTGTTGAGCTCATACATTGATATTCTATATTAGATCCTTCCCGACAAGTTGGCACAAATAAGTATCAGGTACAACATAATGCTTTATTATATAACAAAGCAAGACTTTCCTTTCTATACCCGTTCATCCCATTATTTACAGCAAAGAAGAGATGGTAATACTCCCACGAGTGCGCGCTACTAGTATCCTGTTTCTACTTTTTCTGTTATTGCTGAAAAGCGACCATTATATTATTGTGCTGTGTAATTTGGTGTTGTGTTGTACGTGTATGAAACAGATATATAGAGGATACCTAACTATCAGAAGTAAGAGTGACTTTTGCTACTGTGTTGCGCGTTTTTTCTGTCGTTTTTTTCTGTGCGGGTGTTGCATCTGTTGCTAATGACTGGCATCAGCAAAGTGTTTGTGGAATTCAGGATGGCAGTTTGAAGCGATTCGCTCTCAGAATGGCGACAAGTTTACGAAAAAAGACTGCCTGTGTTCCTTCACCGTGTTCGTGCATCCTGTCGACCTGTATGATTTTTTTTGTTGTTGTTTAGAGGAGGTGAGCCGTTGAATTCGTAGTCGATCGTTTGAGCGAATTCCTTTCAAAATGCCGTGTAACTACCAAGAGAATCGAAGTACAAAATGATCCGCCAATCCCAATCTGTTTGAAAAAAAAAACAACATGCACGCTTTACCAGCGCCTTCTTCGATAGTAATACAGTAGTTATAGCTACCTCCGTTTGTGCATTTCGCCTTCCAACTTTGCTTTAGCGTCTAAATGAGTTAACAAAGATCCGTAAGCCAAAACAATTCAGTGTTCCCAGATGCCTAAAACTTTTTCCAATGCTGTTCTTCAACATTATAAAATTAAAGCTTACTTTTTATACTGCTTTTTCAATTCTGACACTGGTAATGACTGCAATTATAACGATTACTTTGCCATTGTACTTTAAACAGATCCTTGACAAGTCAAACGTTGGGGAGCGCCTTAATGTGGAGGCCATAAGCGCAATGCCCCCGATCCAGCTATTTGAGGCACCGAGGCATCCAACGAGGCTGCGAGCTAACCTTTTCGCTCTTTCAAAAAAAACACGTAATAGTTGTTCGAGCAAACTTTTACTTGGACCTCTTCCTTCACTGCTAAAACTGCGCTGTAAATCATAACTTAAGGTAACAAGTTTTGTTTCTGTATAATTAGGCCGTGAAGCAGAGTATAAAAAAAACAGAGGAACAAAATTGAAGAATACTACATGATGAGTCCGTAAAAGGTTTGAGATTGCCCATAACGAATGAATCGAACCCGCTCCTTTGCTCTCTAAATTCTACTATACACCGATCAAGTTTTCTTTTTTTTACGCGTTTCTTTCGGAAACCGTGAAAAAAAGGAAACATAATGTTTGAAATCTTGGTACCCTTTCCTCAAGAATATGGCTGCTGGTACCGTAAGGCCAAACAAAGATTAAAAAAAAAGAGTCATTGTTAGATCGTTTACCGGAAAGCATTGCCGGCTATTTAAGCGATAAAGGGTGACACGACATTCTTCTTATAAAACCCTTTTCTCAAGAGCCAACATGTCCGGCAAGATATTATACGGGATTCTGTTGGTGGATAATGAAGGGAAGATACCACCCATGGGTCGTTTGGATAAGAAATCTGATGGTTTCTCCACTTTTTTCTACCCTTGCTGCTCATGTTGAGAAACGGGGAGATTGGGATCGATTCATTGTTTTATGTTAAGGGCAATTCGTATGATACCAGACACTTTGCTTACTGAATATTCTTCAATTCTGACGCGAAGGGCTTGTGTGTGTTTGTCGAACAAGTGTATGTAATGGGAAATCTAACTGGGCTGCTATTCTTGTTGGTTTATCTCTAGAAATATACTCACCAGTCGCTCATTTACACACAAGACACTATGTAAGTTTTATCAGTTATGAATTCTCGAGAATCGTTATTACATGAATGTTCGGTTACTCATTGCAACTCTATTAAGATTGCTAATATTACTAAAGCATGGAAGATTATCGACGAAGCGAAAAAAGCGAGCAAGAACAAGTTTCACCACCAGCAAAGAACGAGGTTCGATGTTCTCAAAACGGAAAAATTACACGCTACGTAGAAGTTGGTCTAAATCTACTTCAGGTAGGTTTTTTATATATATAAATCATAGGATGTGTGTTTTGTCTAAACGATAACAATGGTTTTGATCTGCTATATAGGAACAAAAAATGTCGGATATTGTAGTAGTAGGAAAAGGAGCAAGTATCACCAAAGCAGTGACGGTGGTCGAGATCATTAAGCGTAGAATGGAAGGATCTTTACATCAATATACCCAACTCGGCAGTGTGTCCTCGACAGATCAGTGGGATCCTGTAGAAGGAAAGGACATGGATCGGTAAGAGATTAATATTGCGTTTGGAATGGAAAAGCAAATCATGGTTTAGATCAGATATTTATCGTCCTATATCTCTTACAGGATGGTTGTCACACAACATACACCCGTTATTTTAATACACTTATCAAAACTAGCAATACCAGACTTGGAGGCAACTTCAGGGTAATGTATACACTATCCCATATGGCCAGTACGTTCGATACAAGCGGGAACGAGAAAGAGAGCTGACATGACCTTTATGCAAAATAGATATCAAGCTCCAACTGGAAACGACATTTATTCTGCATAGTACTCTGATCCAGATTTTATAAATCTTTATGCAAAGGTTTAACTTTTTTTGTAAAAATGAACTTGTTATTGTATGCTTTCTCTCTATACAGAATTGCTATTGTACATATATAAAAATATTGCTTATGCATTTATACATTGTAAACATTACACATGTCGCCTATTGGTAAACAGGCTAGATACTTGCACCATGAAAAAAGCTATATACCACAAAGAAAGCGAAAAGAGATCACGGAACGAGATGAGTCGGTTGTGTTTTTTTTGTTTACTTCTATTATTACTGCTGCTAACCATTTTTAGAGTATAAATTGGCATGTCACTTACCACTTCTGGTTTTTCGCCCTTGTAAAATGTGTTCAACAACAAAAAAGATGCTACGCCCAATAGAACCACAATGACAACTCGCATGATCCATTTAAAGATAATACGAGCTTTACTATAGTTGGGCTTAGTGGCGGGCATTACAACAAGGCCGACCAGCAGCCCTGAAATAAATCCACCAATATGAGCAAAATTGTCTGGCCTAAAGACGAAGGAAAAAGTCATTAAAAGTTCCCTATTAGCATAAACCTTTTAAGGTGGTATGTATTTGATATTAATTTTTACCCAGGCAAGTATCCGTAAACAAGAGCGAGTGCTGTAAGGATGAGTGGAAAAAGGAGATTAGAAAAACAGTTGTTATAAACGCATGCCAATAGATTAGAGCACATTTATAATCATACCCATTAATGTGATTAATTTGGTTAGTTGCCAGCCGGGATCAGCAATAAGTCTCCAGCTTCGCATTAGATCAATTAATAATAATGCTGCGATCCCAAAAAGAGAGCCCGAACAACCCATGGACGCTATATATTATTACGTGTTGTATGAGTTAGAACTGCGCTTTCTTCTCTTGTTCCACCATCACGAATCGTTAAACTAATATTGATTATAATCACGCTCATAACACAGCAACAGATACAACTTACCACTTGATACCGGAGAAAATGTAGTGCTAGCAACAAATCCAAATATACCGGAAATCAACCACACGAGACCATACCGTAAAGGATTCAATCTACGTTCGACTCTTCGGCCTAGTCCCAAATGTACAAGCATATTACAGAAATAATGCAAGATACCCGAATGGACAAAAGTTGCGGTAATGACACGGTACCACTGGTTTGGATCACCATCACCAAACGACGCCATGCCACATACATCTTGGATATCACAGTTGGCATTTGCCGACGTTTCCAAACTGAGAATCATGGAAGGTGGCGAAAGGCCACCATCGCTTTTGGTATCGGGACAAGCAAAATTGGTCAGGTCCGTACTGCGCATACATGGTGAATAACGTGCTCCTTCATAGACTAAAACTTGAGTCGATGGACCGAGCATGACATTGAATGGCGAAATTTCAATGACACTGCCTATATTAATTAAAAGGAAAGTTTTTTTTTTTTGGTGTAATGCATCAAACAAGGTTAGTGTTACCCATTTACACATATTATATGCTGGATCGCATCTCATCGCCCCTTGATCTTTTCATCGCTGGAAAAAAAGAAATTCTTAAGGTACCTGTCAGCTGTCTATTGTGGATAAAGCTGACGACGAGTGCTACGGCCATCCCAAGTGCGCTGAGATAAGAGAAAAGTGGGAACCAGTTATGTGGCTGTCGTCGTAGCATTTCATAAAGTCGTCCACGATGCATCGCTGCCCGTTCCTCTGCTTCGGCTTTGGTATCAAACATAGGCACGACTGTTGAATCGTCCGTTGCAACAGATGGATCTGCACCATCGTTATTGTTATTGTTATTTTTAACGTTATGGGTATCGTTTCGTTGTTGCTCCTCTTCATCTTGTTGTTGCCTTTGGTCTTGCTTCTGTTGCTGTTGCGGGAGTTGCTTTTCGTCTACTGGAATCATTCCTGTTTGGTCCTTTGCACCGCAATTGTGATGAGGACAACAGGCGACAGGTGCTGGCGGCGCAATTACGACTTGACTGTTTTGCTCTGTTTTACTAGTAGCCCGACGACGATTGCCAAAACATTCGCAATCATCCAGATATCCTTCGTGCTTGCACCTTGTTGAAGGAGACGTAAAGTACTGGTGTGATCTGCTGTCTGAGTCCAAGTTGTAGAGCGAGTCGTTCATGGTGTTTTGAGGAATGTAGTAACTCGGATAAAAGAGTGAAGGGGTTCGACCGTAGGTTTGAAAGGTAGTCGTTAACCGATCGACACGTTTGCGGCCATATGACTGAAAATTTTGAGTAAGGCGATTCATTCGACTACGTCTACTGTACAGCTCCTGGTGCTGTTGCTGATCGACATAATAGTCGTCATTAACGTTATTATCGCGTGGCGATGCTGGGTACCTGCTGCTGCTGCTGTATGCTGTTTCATAGACATCATCGGGCTGAGGCACTGTTTCTTGGTGATGATGATAACGCTCTGCAGAAACAGTAGGAATAGTTGTAGTGTATGGAGCCACTGCTGTGCCATCTTGATCTTCGTTCTTTGCACCAAACAGCCTATTATTTCTCCACCACATAATTACTGAGTGGAAATGAAGCTGTAAAAGAGCGAGAAAAGGGGTAGGATGATTAGTAGACCAAAACCGGAGTCACTCGTCTTTTATATATAATTACATCGCCCAAAGACCCGCACTATCGCCAATACGCTGTTTTATTAAGAATTCTACGTGGCTAATTACTGATTTATAACTCATTTGCTGTAGATGCATGGTGTCACCTTCATCCTTGAAAAAGAAAGGCTCGGACAAACTTGGGGGACGAACCATGCACAGACCTGTCTTTTTTTCTCCGACAGGAAAGTGAACTCGGCTAAAATATTGCTCTGCCGAATATCGCCTCGTTTGACATGAACTCCAACGAATTGTCTGTGTTGACGCTCAATTGCTGGTAGGTCATTTATATGGACGTTAGTCTATAATCTTACATGCTCGCATCAGCACTAATACAATTATTTCAGGGGTCTTAAAATTGTATCCAAGAAACGACGATTCCGCCTCAAAGCCATTGCCGATGCAATCAGTACAGCCGAATATGATATTGTCACTTTACAAGAGATTTGGATGTGGGAAGATTTCGATTACCTGAAACAGCAGACCCAGTCTACCCTTCCCTATGCCAAATGTTTCTATAGGTAATTTTACACGTGGAAGTGCAAGTGGGTTGTTTTTAGAAGAGAAAAAGCAGTGCTATAGTCGCCTTTGCATAACACACATGCATAGTGGCGCTTTAGGTAGTGGACTCGCAATCTTATCGCGCTTTCCAATCGTCTCGACGTCGTATTTCCGATATTCTTTGGCAGGGCGACCACTGAAGGTGCTCCATGGTGATTTCTATGTTGGAAAAGGATGTGGTTCAGCATGCATTGAACATCCTGACCTTGGCGTGCTTGAAGTTTTCACCACACATGTAAGAGGAAAATCGAGCGTTTTAAAAGATTATTTTTTTGGCTGCTGCATTTTACTAAACTATATGAAAATAAGCTTCATGCAGGTTACGGTAACTCGGATGAATACGAAGGCCATCGAGTATCCGAGTCCTGGGAACTTGCTCACTTGCTTCGGGCATCCGCTGCACAAGGACGTCATGTCATTGCGGTAAAGTTCGATACACAAAAAATACGCGGTTGTAACACATTATCTTACCACTATATGCGTTTTTGTATAAGACGGGTGACTTTAACAGTATACCCACTAGTTACAACTACCAGCTACTAAAAGCCCATGCCTTCATGACTGACTCTTGGCTCGAAATTCACCAAGACGCTTTGACACAAAACGAAGGCGACGGGCCGACACATGACATGGTGCAACAACTGGGCATCACCTGCGACTCACCAATGAACACTTGGACCAAGCGCGAAAAATTAAAACAGCAACCCTATTCCAAAACCTTGGGTGATCGACTCGATTACATTTTTTATCGCAAATCCACACAGCTGGAATGTTTGCGTTCAAGTGTGGTCATGACAGAACATATACCCGGTACACAAATGAGCTATTCGGACCATTTTGGCGTGCTTTCGACATTTGCTGTTTATAGTGACGTGCCGGCCATGACAACGACTACGGCTGCGGATATGCCGGATACAGCACAATTGGGTCGCCCAACGTACACATGGATCGAACCATCCATGTTGGAGCAAATTTTGGAGCTTTTCAGGCGGGATGAGATTGCGACACGCAGAACAGCTAATTTGTTGTTGGCGTTGTTTGTGTTTCTAGTCATAGCTGTTATTGCAGTATATGCCACGGTCATTGCATTGCCTGTGTCGTTACGGATAAATGAGCAAGGAAGTTTGATTACTGCAGTGGTAAACACATTGGGCGGATTATGCGTTGTTGCTATGGCCGCGTTTGCAACTATCTGTTTCATTGTGGGCTTCGTGTTTGGCCATACCGAGCAGCGTGCTCTGAAGCAGTTTGCACTTGAAGTGGATACTTTGCTAGAAGGGATGAAGCAACAACAACATGGTGGTGCTAGAAGAGTACCACAAAAGAATCCATCACCGGCTAGCAGCTCTGATACAGAGGCATTATTACGTTTTGACCAATGATAGATAACCTTATCTCATAGTATTTCTATGCTTGTATATTGAACTTCTTTTGCGCCTTCATTTCAGACTTTATACTCCATGCTATTACACACACACACACACACACACATCTCTCCCCTACTTCCCACACTACATCACGTAGAAAAGCTTCCATCCCTTTACAAAGTATAATTGAAGCTATCATTAATTCAGCATAAATTGCCCAAAAATGGATTACACCTCTTTGCCATCAGGCGCGTTTGGCGGGAACTTTCACTTGTTATGTCAGCTTAAATTCGCTTTACTTGTGCCTGCGTAATTTTTTAATTAAAAGAAGGCTGCACTTCTTCCACTTACTCTTTCTATACTTTTCTCATCCCTTTCAAAAAAAGAATCAACATGGCACCAGACCCAATTGCTCCACACAGCGCTCCGATTGCCGCGTACATGAGCGTTCATACAGGTAAGCGATTCACCACCATCTTATGACGGAATGACGAAACGGCGGAAGGGGAGGGGGAGAGACCAGCTGATACGGCTTATTAAAAACTAGAGTTTCTGCATAAAATATATAGCCACGAACTTGGCGTATGTAAGATACTTTGCAAACCAGGACTCGGCTGAATCTGCTAATTTCGAAAGCTTAAACTCTCGTGGATTCACAATGTCATACATATTGCCTGGTGGTTCGAAGCAAGAGACGTTTATTGGGTTCAAGACACCTTTGACCAAGCGGGAAGAAATTCGGCCCGTACTGGAAGCAATGGCTCAGGAAGCCGAAAAAGCACTTGGTCTTGTAAGCTTGTTTTTCTTATGTCTTTTTCTCCAGTAACTGCACGTCAGACTCGTGCTAACTGCTTACAATGAACATATATAGCCAAGCTCGCTTTCTGGACCACCACCATTGGCTGCGATTGCTAAAGCCGCTTATGCCAGTGCCACCGACATCTACACGCCCGCTGAACCCGCAGTTCCACTTGATATATTTTATCCTGTTTCTATGAAGGATGTTGTTGCTGTAGGCGTTGTTATTGGGTTGCCTGCAATTCTCGGCTATGCAACAGATGCTTCGCTTGCGCGGATCTCGATTCTGCTCGAACTGCGCGAGAAATACGCTTTGCGAGGCATTTGTCAACAAATCTTCCGTGGATTGGTCGCCGTTCACAGTCTGGAAGCTAGCATTGCTTTCATTACATGTTTGCGGCGTGGATGGTATAGCTCATTCAACACCATCAAGTGGACGTTAAGCACGTTTGTTTTTGGTGTTGGATCCATGTCATTGCTTCGAAAACACGGTCGTCAAGTGCGAGGAGAGTGAAATGTTGCTTGTAATGAATAAAAAATGTATTTATTGAGAGGATACTCCGTTAATGGTAAATTTGGGTGATGCATTGCCAGAGTCCCCCATCAATACGATAATGTAATTAGACATGGTTTTTAAATCGGATGGAAGGCTGATGTTGTGTCCACCGCTGTTGAGTGGGAAGCCACTAGCGAGGTCCCAGTCTGTGTTGATATGTTATAGTGAAGGTATTCTGCTCTTAGCATCGTAATTCTGCAATATCGTCAAGTTGCCGTCATAAAACATGTACTTACACAAATGTTCGTCTGCGTATCCATCTTCGAGATAGCCAAGCTTGATAATTCCACTGTTCAACACACGACAATGGTCAGTCCAAGAAACAGTTGATGGACAATTAAATAATTTGATAATTAGAGTGAAAAATTACTCACGTAACATTTTCTGGAATAGGCTGACCCCAAGAGGTCGTAGTATTCCTGATTATACGCATGTATCAGCTTTCGTTCCAAAAGCAAACAAACAAACCCGACGGTCGTACATTGATCGATCCCACCCGCTTTTGTACTTATCACCTCTTTCTTCTAACATACTTACCATTCCACGGTATAGTTTTGTCCTGCTTGCCAAACGGTAGTTTCATTTGGAACGATGCTAGATATAAACGTGCAATGGAAAAAAAATCATGAGCATGCTTTGTCATTTCACAGAAAAAACCACTTCGGAAAATATAAGAAACAACATACATGGGAGCGTTCCACACAATGCCATAAGCAATTGCATTCAGCAAGGACAAAAGAAAGGTGAATACTGCTACAGTGTTGGACATGGTTCGTTCAGTAAAAAGAGTGAAAAAGAATGATTAAAAATCAGTTGGCATATTGCACCCATTACCACAAAAGCAGACCGTTTTGTGCTAATAGGTTTAACATCTGAAACCCTGTCCATGCAACTCTCTTTTAATTTCGATAACCCCTGTTGCTTAGCTGCAGACATCATACTCTTTAAGGAAAAAGAAGGGGAAGACATATCGTCATCGTGGTAGAGAATGCAAATCTGACAGCTGCCAATAGAAACGGTCGGGCATCCATTTATGAGCCAACAAATGTATGTAATAGTTTACCCTCCTTCTTTTGGGCAGTTTTCAAAAAGTATCATCTCTTGTATTATAGTATCTTACGATACCGATTAGCAGAACAGCAACGATAACGATCATTTCCGAACGCTGGTCGTGTAAACAATAGCCAAAGATGCCGGTTAATGGAGCCTTGTCAGGTAAGTTATTGGTACAAATTTTCAAATCAACATGCTTCCCATCATCATCAGCAGCAACATCTTTGAGTCAATGCTAAGTACTACTGCTTTTGTAAACAAAAATGTTGCTCAAACACATCCCATCAATGATGACTGTAGGGGCTGACAAAATGAAAGAAAAAGAGAGCCGTCAGACTGTTTGATTAAAAAGTTTCAATGATGGCAGCATAAACTCAATTTGTTTTGCGTGTGGAGGTACGTTAGTATACGAGTAACAGCGCATATTGTATAGCCGGGTATATTGAACTTACCTAGCAAATCGTACTTTTTCATGACGATGCAAAATGTTCACTTATAATTTGCTATATAACATAGTTATTTATGGGTAGACTGATTTGAGTATACCTTTGAGTGGCTGCCGAAGCAAAGCCTTATACGTTGATATGCGAATATCTAGGAGATATATTGGTGTTGGCAAAAGAAAACGCGAATTCAATAGTGACACTTCGGATGCCGTACAAGTTGATTTAACCACGTAATAGCTTTCTAATTTTTAGCTGAAAGAGAATTACAGATAGTGTATTATATTTCTTGCTGTCAAAAAAAATAGTCAGAGATAATAGTATGGTATATCAAAAATCAGCGTTGCAATTTGTTTTTATAAACTAAATCATTCGATCAACTTTCTCGATAATTTGAATGTGTGAATTCAGCGTAGCTTTTTGATCCGCAGCCTCCCGCTTGGCATGCAATTCATATCGGGTTTTGAAAGAAGCAATTCCTTGCAAACTTTCACAGCCAACTTGATTTTACTCATCACCTTGTATCTGAAGATGTATGGTTATCATTTGTGCTTCTGGACCTAACTGTTCACATGTCGCGGAAAAAAGCGGGCATTTGATGATGATCAGTTTGAAGGAGCAGCATACATAGCACCTTAGTGCTTGTACGGGATATTTTCTATCTCTCTTTGCATGCACAATGATACTATCATAGGATGATCGCGACTGATAAAGGCGTATAGTTAACTCATATACATGGCTGGAACGTGTTTATATAAGCTACTCACTACGTAGCTTTGATTTTGTATTCTCTTTTTTCTTCTCCTATGATAAAATCCTCTTTCAAGAGCTATTGCCGTACGAGTGGTGCCTTATTAGTATTCGAGAGCCGAAAAACCTTTACCAGAGTCAGTATACCTGAGGTTGAAAGCACCATCAACATGCTCCACTCTTTCTCGTCTTTTGCGTAAGAAACGTATCAACCCATACTCAATGGACAAACAGTCTACAAACAAGATTTCAAAAGGGCGAGGAAAAAGGAAAAGAGTCTGTAAGTTATGATCCAATTCAAACCTAATAATACTACCACTGTAGTGTTGATATCAATATATGAAGTATTTGCAGAAGCTTATATATTTTTTGCGTAGTAGGATATTGAGGAAGCGATATACCTTTGGAGGCTAGAATGTGGCGAACCAAAATCTGCAGCTAAAATGGATAAGCCCTGCTGGGCATTAGCGCGCAGAGAAGATGGGATACTCTCCCCTCCCAAAGGAACATGGAACGGAACCGCTGCTCTCTTATACTGCAACTCCCCTCTTACCATTACAAATGTAAAAATTGGTTTGTCCTGACCAGCAAACAGAAAAAGGTTTGAGAGAAAAAGATATATTAGTGTGTGTATCTATATTATTCAAATCTTTAAAAGTTAGCTGAAAAATTCAAAAAAGAAACTCAGTTCATCCATGTAAAAGAGAAAGTAGATACTTACGCAAAGCATTCCCAAATTCATGGGGACCTCGGCCGCAATTTTTATCCGTGGGCTCGGGGAAATTGTAGATGAAGCAGGACTTACGCCCGGAGGCTGCCTGAGTAAAAAAACAGCCGTTCGCGTGAAACGATGCAACATCCGAAGATGGGTCGAGACAGAGGCTACTAGGAACTGCGAGAGAAAAGCAAAGGGGGAGGGGAGGGGAGAAGGATAATCTATATAAAGAACGCAATAGACGCTTTTAACGACTTCCTGGGTCAGAGCAAGGGGAAGGGGAGGGGGGGATAAATTATACAAAGAAGCAATAAAGATATAATATATGATGCAAAAAAGAAGATGAGGCTTTTAACGACTTCCTCAGGTCCAAGTGAAAGCAAAAAGCACACGCCACCGTCCAGATGGATGGATAGATCTTAACCACAGCCGATGGACTACTTGACAGGTCGGCTTCTAGAAGCGGGATGACAGTGGAGCATCAATCTTGACTAGCATGGAGGTGTCTGTGCGCTATCGCCATTCCAAGAAACAAAAGAGATAAACAGTTAATGGGAAACTGTTAAACCACACACATACAAGATTTTATCGTGCTATGCTTACCCATACTTTTACGATGAGACACAGGAGAGCCGAGCACACGGCCAGAGCAGAGCAGAGCAGAGAAACGCAGCCAAGACAAAAACACTTCTTCTAACTGAAAATAAAAAAGGTTCATTAGAGCCTGTGCTATCTTTATTTTTTGACACGGCATTACCATCCTCCTCCATACCAAGCTGGATCCAGCTACACTTACATTTGTTTTGTCGTTTTACAGCAAAGTTATAGACAGAGAGAGATGGGGTCTAAGCCAATCCAAGTCCAAACAGATCACCGCAGAGCCATCCTCTAATAGAAAAAAGAAGACATCTATGAGCAGCTGCATACACCTTTTGACATGTCACGGCAGACATCTTCCTGGTTCTTCAAACCCGCAAAGACAAACACAAGCACAGCTATACTTACGATTATGACATCCTTGAGTTGGAGGAAGAGAGCCTTGAGTTAGAGAGAGGAAAAGCAAGAAGGGGATGACCAATTCTGAAAAAAGAATAAGAGAAGAAAGGGAGGAGAGAAAGAAAACTTTTTTGAGAGACTGCCATATTGCATACGTCATGGTCAGGAGCCCTTTCCCGTCACGCTGCTGTACACACTGCACACCTTTGACGCGTCATCCCCAACACCCATGCCATCCTACTCACCTATCATACCAATGTTCAAGTCCCCTTTTGCTTATACTTACTATCTGTTACTTGTCCGCAGGACACAATTAACCCAACCAGCATAAAGCAAAACCTGAAGTAGAATGAAAAGAAGAAAGAGCATGAGCAGGCTGTTCTTAATATGCAACTATTCCTGACACGTCATGGCATCAGCACCTCCAACAGACACTCGACTTCTCTCCAGCTCATCCTCACATTTCATTCCCTACCGTACTTACAGTTGTTGCTTGTGCTTAAGGGTGGGGTGCAAACACCAAACCGAACCAACCATTTCAAAAAGTCAAAATCCTATAGTAGTAGCAGAGAAGAAAGGAGGATAACATTAGCGACTGTATGCTGTACACACACTTCTTTAGACACGTCGAAATTCATATCTTCTTTCGTATATCACATCCACATGCAAAACCTCAAAGTACACTTCACACTTTCCATATTGTACTTACTCTTGCATCTGCGCTTTGAGAGCCAACGTGAGGGGGAGATGGACCAGGTTAAGACGAGAAGAAGGTTTGTGTCAAAAAGAAAGAAAGTGAGATAAACGGATTTTGAGATACTCACAACCGGTTGCATACACTCTTCTCACTCACCACCATAAACATACACTCTCCGATCCTCTAATCCGTTCCAATGACAATCATATTGAAAAGCTTTGGTTTAGAAAAGTTGACGAAGAGGAAGAAGAGTGGCATGATTGCTGTGGCCGCGCGGTTATATAGTAATGATGAACACACATGCTACGCGGCATTTGAGCCAGTTCATTCTATCCAATCAGATTACTCTCTGACGTTTATGACGCGCCGAGGTGTGTGGCTCTTCCAGATCAGAGAATTTATTCTACATGAATGTATGACTGTGTGAGTAGACGGGTATCGCATCGAGGAAAGACTCAAGGGAATAACCGTCATTAGCACGATGTGAAGCTCACTTCAAATCCTTCATCATCCGAGAAGTGCCATCGCTTTAAACACGCTGAATACAAGTACCGATACAAATATCAACGTATTTACTACACTATGTATACAGGAGTACCCAAGATCTCATGAGACACGACGATCCCGCGCTTGCCGATGTTCCATTTGGTGGAAAAACTATGGTCCTTGGTGTTGACTTTTGCCAGGTACTCAACATTGAATACTCTCCTCTACTTTGCATTCTTTTGTTATTGAGCGGTAATACTTACGTTAAAGTATCTACATCAAAACTGGTGATAGGTCCTTCCTGTGATACCAAATGCATCGCGCTCGCAAATCGTACAGCAGTGTCTAAATCGTTCATCCATTTGGCCCAGCGTCATCATCCACCACCTTGATACCAACATGCGCGTCCAACAGGCTGCCAATTCCGATGATGCAAACGAGCTTGGCCAGTCTATGCAATATTTACTCTGCATTGTTGATGGTGCTGAGCTGTTGGTGCCAAGCGGAACTTGCACACCCATAGTGGACTCTGAAATAAGACACGGCTGATTGTACGCTCTCTCCAACGATATGGACTTGAAGCTGAGATAGCCACTGGAACTCATGCTGGCAACATCGTCTTGATCCCTCGCATAACTTTAACACCATCACAAAGACGCTCTCCCATTTTCTTCAAACGCAATCAATTCCCTGTTCGCCTGGCATTTGCAATGAACATCAATAAGGCACAGAGACAAACTTTTAACACTGTTGGCCTCTACTTACCTGAACCTCCTTTCACCCACCACGGTCTACTTTATGTAGCCATGTCGCGCGTCCACACCCCTTCTTCCATCAGAATCATGCTAGATCCTGAGAACTCAAGTATCGCGGGTCAGCAAGGCCAAAACACGCGAAATGTTGTTTTCCATGAAGTCCTTCTCTAATTCTTTTTATCGCCTATTCTTTTTTACCTTCTAATAAATATCACTACATACATTATCTTTTTCTACACTTAGTTTCGCGTTGCATTTAAGCTGGAGATAGTTAAGTATCCAACTTTGACGACTTTCTATGATAGATTACTTCTCACTGCACAATGATCTTGCTTTTGTTTTTTGAAAACAGACAATAAGCATTTAATACCAAAACATTGAACCAACCTCGCTCCACAGGGGCGTTTGGGGTTCAAGGGGGGAACCCCCTTGCGACGCGTTTCCGTTGAATGACACGGAGCGAAGCGGAGGGGCTCATTCATCCGAGCGAAGCGAGGAAGGACCGCTAGTATATTGTATATATATGTTGTGATGTTAATTTGTCTACTAGGTGGTTTTTGTCTCACATATCAAAAATTTTGGGGCATTACATATATAATTAACTTTGTGTCAGTGGTGAGGGACGGGTGGAGAGAAAAATTGGATATATAGCGGGGGTAATGTAAAGGATGAGAATCAGGAGGAGGAGGCGATGTGCAATAAGAAAAGAAAGAGAGAGAAAAGATATGTACACATAAGAGAAAATTTACAAGAAAGAAATAGGAAAAACATACACAAAGGTGTAGTGTGTAATGCAGTAGTAGTAATAATGGCGGGAGTAAGAAGGAAAATATGTGAGGAGTATATAAGCAGCATATTATAAATAAAGTGTGTGTGTGTGTGTGTGCCGTTCTGGTCGACCAATGTGATATGAGGGATGATAATATATGGAAGAAGCATAATAGCAAGTGAAAAGAAAAACATAATCAGTTGTGATTTGAGGCGCGAAGAGAGAAATCAGTAATTGGTGGCATAGCATTAAGTGTGCAATATATACGGTGTATGGTGGGCAAGAAGAAGAAGAATGATGATTGTATGTATAAGGTGCGCTTGTAGTATGAGTTGGAGAATAAAGTGGCATAATAAGTATGGAATAAGCGGCATATGCCTTTGAATTGTTTGTTTGTTTATGCAAAATCATGGTAAGCTGCAGTGGTGACACTGGCTGCTGCTGCTGCTACTGCTGTTGCTGTGGAGTTTGGAGCGGTCATCCACGATAAGTCGGCATTGTTGTAGATGGGCTCCGAGAGTCTCCGCGTGGCCTGAATAAAATGTAACCAATCTGTCAGTTTCAAAAGTGCCACATGTACACGTCGTTCAACAACAAACTCAGCAGGCTATTTTTTTTGTTAGTTTACCTCACTAAAATCTGTTTGTTGTTGCTGGTGTTGATGGCCCGAAGATGCAGCGATCATCGTCATCTGCTGTTGCTCCTGCTGCTGTGCAAGGGGATACGAGGTCCGCCTTATGTCGCCAAAGTATGGATCAAACAGCGCGGCAAAAGCTGCAGCGGTTGTCGTGTCAGTTTCCGTCACGCGATCTAATGTAACCAGCGGTTGTTCTTTGAGCTCATCTGCTGCTGCTTCTCGAGAATACATCAGCCCAGGCACGAGATCCCATTTTCCGGCAGTGTCCTGCTGGAGCTGCTGGAACTCATGCGAATGCTGTTGTTGATCAAGAAACGAAAACACATCGATAGGTGTGATTGGCGTCAATTGTTCGGTATATGATGACGATGCATTGCTATGCTGTCGTTGCATAGGCGGAGCTGCTGCAGAGCTGCTACAGGCAGTAGTAGTTGCGGATGATGATGATGTTGCTGCCAAGGCTGCTACCTCTGCTGCTGATACATCGACCCTTGGTGGCGTCATTTCTTGTTGTTGTTGTTGTTCCCGACGCTGCTGAGCCTTGGCCTTGGCGCGTCGATTTTGAAACCAGACCTGGACGCCTCTGGGAGTCATACCAAGTTTTTGCGCGAGTGAACGCCGTTTGTGAGCGTTCGGCTTTGGATTTTCCAGGAACGTCTTTTCCAACACTTTGAACTGGGCGCGTGATGTCCGTCGTCGATGCTTGACCTCAAATGGATTGTAAAAGGCGGGTCTGAACTCTTCTGATGGCATGGCAACAATACCAGGAGGCGGGTAGCAACAGCAATCACAAGTGATTGGGCTGCTAGAGCCGGCCTTTGCGTTGGCCATGGTGTAGGCAGGGTCCATCATGATGGGCCCTGAAGATAGGGGGTTGTTGGGAGCCAAGAACCAGCCCCCGTCTCCTGCTCCTCCTTCACCCCCGTCCATCATACAAGCTGTCGTCGAGTCACCTTGAACGGATGAAGTCGATGACGGTGGAGAGCAGCAGTCGACGCAATAGCACGCGGAGGGTAATGGTGGGGTGTATTGCTGTAACTGTCGCTCGTCGCCGCAAAAAGGACGTTTGTAAGCGAGTGGAGCTGGGGGCGGTGGTGGCGGCGGTGGTGCTACCAGGCTAGTATCGTCGATGACGACACATCCATTGCTGCTGATGTTATTGTTACTGGTTGTCGAGAGCATATTTAATTATGTGCGCGATGGGTTGTTGTTCATAAAAAAAGGCGTGTTTTTCTTTTTGTTCGTCGTGTCGTAGCAGGAAAATAACAAAAAGGCGTAAGGGGAAATATTTGTACACAAACCAAAGAAAAAATAAATAAAATAAAAGAGAAAAAAAATATGGTTGAGAAGGAAAAGAAGAAGAAAAAGAAGAAGAGGAAAAAAATGCAGATCGCGGCCGATAAAGAGAAAGAGAGAAGAAAGATGGCCGTATTTGTCTATATTTAGCTGACTTTCTTTCGCGTGTAGTATTGGAGCTCGTTTGCACAGTGGCAGTAGTGGTAGTAGTAGTAGTAGTATTAGTAGTAGTAGGTGGTGATTGCTGTTGCTGTGTCGTGTATTCTCTGGCGTAGAATAAGTCGAGAGAGGAATGTGAGGGGTGTCCATGTCGTGCGTGCGTATGGGTTTTTCTGTCACTTGTGGGGGCTGTAAAGAGAGAGCAGGGGTTAAACCTCACGCGTTCTGATCATATGCATTCGAGTTATTCAAGGAGTAGCTGAAGATGTCCACTTTTACAATTGTGGGAGGAGCAGGTTGCTCTTTCGGCTGCTGCTGATGACGACAAAGCGCCATCGTATGGGGAGTTATCAGACACCGGTGACAGTAAAAACTAAACAGGAACGGAGTTGTAGGAAACGGGGCGGAGAAAATGGACAATACACCATCATATGCTCTTTATGGCGGTATGAGGAAAGAAGAGCAAGAGCAAGAAGCATGCGGAGAGAGGGGGGGGGGGTTTGGTGAACTAAGGGTGAGCAGCAGCATGAAAAGGCTCTTTAAAAAACGCGGTTGCTGGACTAGGGCGGTTTAGTGCAATAGTCTCTCTCTTTTTCTTTAACGATCCCAAGCTATTGTCTAGTGAAGTCTCCTCTTTGTTGATCGCTGCTATGTATGGACAACCCGATGGATAAAAGGATAAGCAAGTTTTCAGCCGTTTTTTCATTGCTTCGCCACGCGGGCTGCCCGCCGAAAAAAAAATCGCATGTGCATATCCATGCGTTTCACTAGTCCTCTTTTCCATAATGATCGGCTGCTTGCCGTTACTGGGGTTATGCATTTACAGTGAAAAGATGATGCCATCCGATTCTAGGTTAATTTTTTAAGTTCACAAGAACGGGTAAAAGTATAGTACAAGGCACAGAACAGAAAAAAGCTCGGCGCGAGACCACTACTTTGGATTGCATTTATACCAAAAAAGAAAAAAAAAAGTCTCAGCCAATCATGTGCATAAAATCTGACAGGTAGGATAAACAATCGATGTGTGCTACCCTCCTTCTCACTGGGTCATCACTTACTGTAACTATTCTTTACTACCCGTGTCGTAGACACCAATAGTAGTTGGAGCATCACTATTTTTTTTAATTAATTTGTCACTTTGCTGATAAACGATCGAGGCAATAGAGTGTGCACTAGAGAGTCCATCTGCAATAAGAAGCAAAAGTGATGTTTGTTTTTCCATGACAGTCATGTACGTGGTGGCTTAATAGTAATTAGTAGAAGGAACAGGATTCATAGCATGCATTGTCATTAGCAAGAGTGATTGCTGACGCAGTGGGTGGCAAGTACAGTGGGCACTTGAATCACGACAAAAGCGGGACCCTACATTACATCTCAAACAGATGTCCATTTTCAGTTTTTGGGGGGCAATGTGAACCTTCTATCTTGATGTACAGCAAAAAGGCGCATAGGCCAGCTTAAGATTGAGAAAAAAGAGAGATGTTCTGTAACATGCATGATGTGCGTTTGGGTGCAGCAGTAAGTTAGATGCTCACCTGTGTTATGTACGTATAAGTGGTTGTGAACCTCGATAAGAGCAAAGGGAGAAGAAGAATGACACTCTGTCTAGAAGGCTGATGCAATTTCTTTAAGTGAAGCTACGTTGTACTACTAGACGCGATGTATATGCGCGTGTGCCACTTGGAGTGTGATTTTAGTGTTATGTGTGACACTACTGTTTGTTGTGCAGCACTTCTACTATACATTATGCACGTAAAGTTTACCAAGATCAAATGCGCAAAAGTGTCACCATGTAAGCTCAGAGTTATACAATATAGATATCATTTAGCTACCAAGCGAGAAAAGATGGATCTATAATTCAGAAATCATTCTCCCTTGCTATCTACTACCAACATTCCTTGTCGTTTAAGCAAATAGTGATGGGTTTATCTATCGATTATCCTTTTTTCTATTATTATTATCACTAAACCCAACTGAGCCCCTGACATAGATAGAAAAAGGAGGAATAAGGGAGGGAGGGATGGGGTAGCAAAGAATGGAATCATAATATTCCATTGAAAGCCTCAATACTGCAAGTTCCCAGGGCAGATGGCAGATGACATCTGTCATTATGCAGGATGGGAGAGACAGTATTCACATCATATGATGCTGTTATAGGTAAACAGTTTCAAACATGTGGCACCATGTTGCTGCTGCTTCTGTTGCAGACAGAACGGCAGATTGGATAGACGAAAACAAAACTTACCTAAGTAGTTCAATATGTTCTATTCGGTCTTTTTGTGATATAGGCCCCTACTGGAAAAATTTCAATTCTATTTTAGCAGTATCCTAGTATATGGTTCTGCTTTCACATACTTACAATGTATTCCGTCTCTTTAGAAAATGCTGCACTACAGTGCAGCAGTATGCTAGAGACGAGTAACCTTGCAGCAAAATTATTGCAACATAACAAGCAAGAAAGAAGCCATACAGTGTTCTTACAGTGCTTACAGATAGTGTACCGCGTGATATGCGCATTATTGTTTTTCATTGAAAGCCATATTTCCAGACTAACGGTCGTATGCAATATAACCAACATTCTGTATAGTAATCTTTCTTTGAAAAAAAAAAAAAAACAAGGAGAGGTGGATGAGGGCAATGATCGTTTGTAGACTTTTCCTCGGCATTCATTCTGCATTTTGTATATACTGTAAGATATTAAGTACAACTACAGCCTTCTCTTTATTTTACCGGCAAAGCAAAAGCGGGTATTACACAATACAGTCAGCCCGAGAATCGAGCTTGCACAGGGCCCTGTATCTACATGCCCCATCGACGGTGCTGTCCCACAGCACCTGCGAGTATGTCATGGGGTTCTTAATTGGCTTTGAGAACAAACACATGTGTATGTTTAAGCTAGCAAAGCAAAAACTACGAGCGAAGCGAAAGGCCGACTCCTTGGGTCTGCAAAATTGGGTAAAAGTAAAAGGTAGTGCATAGCATCTATTATTAAGAAAGTATAGTAGGTCGGAAGACTCGCCCACAAGAGTCAGAACGAAAAAGGAATCATTATACGATAATATGAGAATATCTACCTTTTGGTACACCAAGGTGAATAGAAAGAGAAGGCAAATGAATTGTACAAAAATATAAATAGAATGGATAGAGATATAAAGTCACAGTAATGGGATTCTTAATAAGAAGGATGGAAGACGGGAAAGAGAGCACATATACAGCTGTACGGCGACATGATACTAAAAAGAAAACTTGGTCATGCATGAACGCCACAATTACCGCACATAGTAAAGGGCCATAACGAGATAGACAGCTCAAGAGAAGTGACAAGGTGAGCTTGACGACTATGACTCAATCAGCCCGATTGAAGTTGGTAGGATGGCACACATCAAGCAAACGTAATTCTTCGACATGTGAAATATAGATCGACTTGCTTTAAAACACAAAGATTATATGTAGCTCTCTTGAACAGCCGCCCTAAAGGATGGATGGATGGTTGATGCATTTTGATATTTATAGTTCCCTTTTTTTGGGGAAAAAATTACAGGCTTTGGGTTCAATGACGATCAGGAGAAAGACATATAATTGCGCCTTACAGAATAATTACTGAAAGAGGGATGTGAGTGACGGTTTTGCAGAGCATGATGATCAGCCACTCCCTTGAGATGGTACATATTTCAAGCACAAACACTTTTCCTTTGTTGGCATGTCCGGTTCGTCACACAAGCAAAATATTAGACATGCATGACATGTACAACGTCAAAACGTTTTCCTCTACTTGGCTTTTTTTTAGAATGGCTCACACATTCAAACATCGTTGCAGTAACGATTGTATATTGGCACTTGCGATATCTTTTGTGGCTCTGAAAGGATGCTACAAAAGAACATTTGGCGAGGAGAATTGTATCTTTTGCTGGCATGTTATTGATGTTTGATTAGAGTCAAAGCTACAAATGTATGTACTGTACACAGGTACAACGCAAATCCACCAGTTTTACAAATTTGGTAAGCCACTCATCCTCTTTTTTTCTTCTTCTTACCCCAACATTCGATTCAGTAACCGAGTACATACTGTATACATGCCCCATTCAATGGTATAACTGAAGACAAACTTTTCAATCTAAATTGCTATGAAATATATATACATATATTCAGCAATAAGTGTTAGAAATAAGATAAACTACTATGCATGTATACGTACCTATACAGTAATTATGCGGCTGCATCGGCACAGATCAAAGGTGATGCTTAAAATAACCGTTACTTTGAAATATCTTGGAAAACCTGGCAAAATTACTTTGACCGGCGATGGCTTTCAAAATTACTTTTAAATGCTATAAGGCTAAGGTGCGGTAGTATGCAGCATAGTTTTCTCTTCTTCTTTCAAAGCCGTTAGTCGTAATTTTACAGGTATTTACATGTTCCTACTGCTAACTCCTGTCACTGTTTATTTTAACGTCCCCTTGTCTAGCTTTATCAGCAGTCCTTGTAATATTAATCAAATGTAATCTGTAGGATATAATGGCAGTGGGTAATGCTCTTATTGAAGCCAGATATATAGACTGTCATTCAGAATTTTATCCTAATAAAATACGAGCATGTCACTTTTGTTCTTCTCTCGTACTGTTCTATATATAAGTATGACTGATTACTAGGTACTGCTCCCCCTGTCTCTCTGAAAAAGAAGAAGGGAGCATCCCAATATAACATTTTTGCGCGGATCTATATAAAAGGGGGCACTGGGATGGTGGAGTTATGTGCTGGTCGGTGCATTTATATACATAATACACCACATTATTATGAGATACTAAAAAAGTGAGGATCAACTTGCGTGTCCTAAAAAGCTTTTAAGAAAAGCGTATTTTGAACTGTAGATAGATATGGAGTGTAATTATTGACTCCTTAACTTCGGGTTTTCTTCCACTTGCTGTGCCTGTGCTCAGCGACCAAGAATGGAAAAACACAAGTGTCAAAGTGAACAAGAAGAAGGCACTACTTGATAGAATGAAACTTCTGCTACACGTGTGATTCTCTATACTAGCTACTACAGTAATGGAAAAAGCAATCTATTACACGTCGTCTGTGAAAATGTGGCAAAAAAAAGACTTGGCGAGTCACTTGATCCTCTTTTTGTTCATCATCAAGTTGGATGTACGATGATAAATAGATCGCCATTATTACAACAACAGATGGTATGTAGTAAGCAGTAAAATAGGCTTACTCCTCGTTTTCAGGCTTTTTTTTCATTGTTGCTGTGATATGCAAACCATTGTTCTGCTGTACGACATTCCTACCTATCATGGATTTTATGCTCTTTGCATTCATGCATGTGTGTGTGAACGGTTCGCAAGATATATTCCTTTTACGTAATCTGATCCTCTCCTACTACTACTGCTATGTGGAAGAAATACGTATATGTCTGCGTATTGTCTTGATATCCTAGAGAACATCAAAGAAATTCGTGGATTTCGGGGGTGGGGGAGAATGGATGATGGGTGTCCGCCCGCGCACATTAAACAGAATCACCTCCCTTTCCACCTTCTTTTCCCTTTCCGCTCATATTCTTTAGGGGCTAATGATTTGAACCTTTTACCCGACACAATATATGCGTACTCGTATACACTAGTACCGTTACTATACCTACTACTACTACTTAGGCTGCTGCTGCTGCTACCACTTCTGACTGTGTGCTGTGTCTTGCTCCTAAAAGGGGCTTTCACTTTAGGGGTGGGACCTAATATGTGCATTGAGGCGAGAGAGAGAGCGACACACACACACACACACACACCAGCCCTCTCTTTCTTTTTGACCGGTCTTTACTGTCGAGTAAGCGTGGCACTTTTTTGCTTACCTCGTTCTGGTTGGTAACCTTACCTGTACACATTACTACTTCCATGGCCCGCGTTATGGGGGGCACGAGTGGATATTATTATAGATGATGCCGTTTGTTGTCTGTAATCTAAACCTCGACATGTTCCAAAAGCCTAATACCTACACTTTGCTATCTCTATGTACAACCTAAAAAAATCATGCGTGCCATGCAAGGGCAGCGAGTTACTTTACTTGCAAAAGCTAGTACATATCGGGGACGCAAAAAATCACATTATGTACATTTCTTCAAAAGTACATGCGCTGCTACAGAGTAAATTGTTTGGGTAGCCTCGACTTGACTCGGACAGTGAATACGTCTGCAAAATATTAATGCAACAGGCATAAAACGCTTTAAATTGCTATTTTACGTGGTGAGTGTGGGTACTTGATCTTTTTTTGGTGAACTTTCTTTTTGCGCTTCAAGGAGGTGCTGATGATCATCATCATCACCACCTTCAGCACTAAAACTTATGGCCCTGCTTTTCACCATCTCCCTTTGAGGTGGCAGTAGCCAAGTGAACTATCTTGTATCAAATCCGAGAGTTCATAATTTATTGTACAAACGCTTTTCTTTTCCTCTTTCCTCTCTTTCTTTCTCCATTCTTCCTTTTTTTTTTTTTACTTGTATAGTTGTAACAAAAAAAATATATCGTGGCTACTGCTCGTGCTACTACCACCTGCCCCATTCTTTTATAGTACTACCTACTACTCTACTACACCAAGTAGTTAGTTAGTACGCTTACACACACATTCTTAATTGTCATTTTTATCATTGTTTACTACTACTACCACTACCCTTTAATTATTAAAACAGCTTACAACACCAACAAAGACGACCATGACAGTGATCGCTTCAGCTACACACGCTTCCGGCCTAACGACAGCAACAGCACAGACACGCATCGCTCGATCGAAAAGCGGTGCTGACATGTTATTCGACAGAATGAAAAGAGACCAGTTCGATCACGAAGAACAAGCAGCAATCGATTTCCTGAATGCAACACTCGTTGACCATGCGCCTATCGAAATTGGACATTTGCATCAAGAGTTGAAAGACGGAGTTTTACTATGCAAGTACGTACAAACCATTCTCTTTTTCTTTTTTTAAATATACCACATATTCGCAGGGACCCCAGAAGAAAAAAATCATATCGCCCTGTTTATCTGCGGATATATGTGTGCGTTATGTCCTATGCGCTTTCTCTTTTCTTTCTTCTTGTCCTGGTACCCGTTATACATGTGTTTGATAAAGAAAAAGAAGGGAGAAAAGGCTGAAAGGGAAAACTACCTTTTTGGCGCCCGGGCAGGAGATTCTGTGTCTTGAACAAATTTCTTCCAAATGAAAAAGAGGAAAAGGGTTACTCGTTTGAAAGGGGAATAACGGAAAGACTAACGTGCACACACACAAACACACAAATCTAGCTTGGTGAACAAGCTACGCCCGGGCACGATCAAACATGTTGGACAACGGGATCTGTCTTTTATCAAGGTCAGTCTCTGGTGACTGATAAACTTTTACGTCCCAAACCAAAATACATTACACACACAATAGGTCTTTTAAATGAGAACTTTTTTTTTTTTTTTGATATTGTAGATGGACAATATCACCCGATTCTTACAAGGAGCAAGACAGGTAAACGATTCTGGTTTCGTGTTTTAACGTGTTTTTATATGCGCGAGTGTGTGCGTTGTGTTGGCGGATTATAGCATTAGGAATGGATAGCAAGAGAGGGGGTGTCAATTAGAAGGGATTGATAGATACATGTCCTGACTTGCTCATTCTTGTTTGCATTTTGTTGTTTCCAATAGCTCGGGTTAAATGATGCTCAGTTATTCGAGACAATCGATTTGTTTGAAGCCAAAGATATGCCAGCAGTAAGTCTTCTTTTTATGCGGTTTTCTCTCTTAGGTGGCCTTTAGAAAAGAGGGTCCTTGTTACCAGCTGATGGGGCTTTGCTTGTTTGGAAAAAGTAAATGCAATATCAGAAATGGCAGGCTGCTTGGATCGATGCGACAAAAAACCTACTACCAATCCTCCTGCATGATGTACCAAGCCCATTTAACTCCCTCTGTGTTTTACTTTTTTCCAACAAACCACCCTAAGCAAGAAAGAAGAAAAAGAGATATCTTCTCTTGCTGCTAGACAAAAACAAAACGCTAACTTCTGTACGATGATAATTTTGTGTGTTTAGGTCGTTCACACTATTTTGGTGATTGCCCAGATGTACACAAAGTCAGTGGGAAATGAAAAGGAGCAATTGCCCAGACTACCGCCCTATAAGAGCAAGGAGAAGGTCACAAACAAGAAGAAAAAGACAGATGACCAGCGGCAGGAGGAGGATGAAGATGGCGAAGAAACTGATCAAGAGGAGGATGGTGATGAGGAGGAGCAAGATGAAGTAAAGGAGAATCAACATCCGCAGCCAATAAGCAAGGAGATAGGTAAGTAAAACAAGAAACATATATATTCTCTTTCTTTCTCTTCTTCAGCTGATTGTAGTATATATACGTACAATAAGCCGTAAAGGGAATAGGGGTTAGTGTAAGATAGAGAGAGTGAGGAGAAATGACGATGGGCCCTTTCCAAAGAAGAAGACGGGAAAAAAAAAGGGGAAAGGACACTAATGCAAATTTACCCTACGATCCAGGTGCTCCTCCGATACTCAGCGATTACGACAGCAGCAACTACCACAATAACAATGCAGCAGTAACACAAGACCCTGCCTCGTGCGACAATGCTTCGTCGGGCGGCAACTATCGTGATGTACGAGACATCTTTGGCTTCCAGCATCCACATCATCCTGGCGATGACACTCATCTTACTGCTGAGACTGACCCATCCTTTGTACGACCGCCTAAATCACCCTTACGTCCAGCATCCAAACGACGACAAAGCCATCAACAACACTGTCTCCGTCGTAAATCTGCCGAGGATCTGAAATCACGTCGACCCTCCGCACCAGCATTCTCGACACACAGTGGAAACAAAACGAGCTATGACATTGAGGACGGCAGCAGTGGTGCAGCAAGTGGCGGTGTTGCCTTGTCACGTACATCTTCTGCTTCATCGTGTAATTCATTCTTATCGTCTGCCTCATCCTCTAGCTCTTCAGAAACTCCATTGACACCCTCATCCGCAACTGCGAGTGGAGCAGCTACGGATGAGCAACAACAACAACAACAACAACGACGCGATCGTCGCAAGAGCGCTACATTTGCAGCACACCATCATCATCATCATCCGCATCAACAGCATATCAGCGACCTCCAACAAACCGAGAGTCTGGGCCGAAAGTTAGATCGGAAGTTATTAAAGTCCATGGAGGCAATCAAGCATGAGAATAGTAGCGGTACTATCAAAGGCCGAGAGAAATTATATCTCAAGAACAAGGACGGTTTAACGCGCGCCCAATATGTGAGTTCTGCTTTTCATGGCTTTCAATCAAATAGGCTACAGCGTATCTCTATATATCGAGTCCATTCATTAACAGAACTTGTGAATTTTTGATCAGCAACTTGGCAACTGTATCGGTAAAGGACAATTTGGATCTGTTTACCGCGCATTGGATCTGACTACTGGTGAAACTGTGGCAGTAAAGAGAATTCGGCTTGACGATGCAGAACTCGACAAAGAGATAATGGCAAGTGAAATGCTCCTGAACTACGCTTGTATAGCTGTGCCGTACTAACTATCGCATACCAATACACAGAAAGAAGTCGGCCTTCTAAAAACACTCAGCCATTCAAACGTCATCCAATACATGGGGTTCATCCGGAGCAAGCACCATATGAATATTGTCTTGGAATACGCTGAGAACGGCTCGCTTATGTCGACCTTGAAAGCCTTTGGCGCATTCCCAGAAAAACTCGTTGCATCCTTCTGTATCAAGATTCTGAACGGCCTTGAATACTTGCACGCCAACCAAGTGGTGCATTGTGACTTGAAAGCCGCCAACATCCTTACTACCAAAACGGGAGATGTCAAGTTATCCGATTTCGGTGTATCGCTCAACCTCAAGATCAAAGGATCCGACCCGGGTTCAGTCTCGGGCACGCCTAACTGGATGGCCCCCGAAGTCATTGAGCTCAAGGGTGCATCCACCAAATCCGATATCTGGTCTTTGGGCTGTACATTGGTCGAACTCGTCACGGGTAAACCGCCCTATGCAGACATGATTGCCATGTCTGCCATGTTCCGTATCGTCGAAGACAACTATCCACCTCTGCCGGCCAATATCTCTCAAGACATGCATAGCTTTCTGCTATGCTGTTTCCAAAAGAATCCAGAGGAGCGGCCAACAGCAGCCCAACTTAAAGACCATTCGTGGATTCGTGCAAATCAGCGACGCATGAAAAAGAATCATCAGTCCTCGACGCATGGTATTTCGTCGTATCTTGAACAACACAAACAACAACAACAACAGCAGCAGCAGCAGCAGCGATCTCATAAACGAAGCAGTCTGCGTCCGACTTCATCTGCTAGCGACTATTGTCATCCATTGGAGCAGCAACAACAACAACAACAACAACAGACACAGCAGCAAAGACCAGCAACGCCTCAACCGCGTTCACCGGTTGTTGCTCGGGATGATGCTTCTTTACTTCCTCGTATTGATACTACACCACCTAGCACGACGAGTTCTGGCCAGGCACCTGATTTGGGCTATTCTTCTAGAATTTCGCATGACAGTGGTTTGTCCAGTGATATCAATGAGGACTATACCACCCATCGATTTATCCAAACATCGTTCGGCAAAGGTAAATAATCGATGCCGGGTAAAACTTTATGTAATTATTTGGTCTAACAAGCATTTCCTTCTCATTGCATGTAGTTGTTGAATGCAAAGTATGCGGTGATCTCACAAAATCGCAAGCCATTTTCTGTGAAGGTAAAATATAACATGTCACGCTCTCGAGTACATAACGCTCACTATCTACTCTCTCTGCAGTATGTGCTTTGATTTGCCATGAAGATTGTAAAAAGCAGGCATTTTCATGCCCACCCAAAGTCAAGGACCAGCAACCTTCTTACGACGTAAGTGTATAATGATAGATGAGAGTATGAACAAACCGCCGTACTCAAAGGGGGCCAAATAGTGGGTTTTTTCAGCCAAGATCTACAACCGCTCTCGACAAGACCGCACTGGATCCCAAGATTCGGTTCGAAGCACCCACAGCGCCAACAATAACGCTGTACAAGAAATCACATGGAATCATCAAAACAAGGACATTTTCGGCAACACCTCACTCGAGAACCATCCGGAGGCAGAAAGCATTCGCAAGTACTCCAAAGCCCTTGGCCTGACACCTCAGGAACAACGTGCCTTGATCCAAAACCAAGCCTTGCTGTCGCATACATTGGCGTTGCAGCACATGAATCCTGAAGCCGTCGAAAAGTTGATCAAGAAACGTAAAGACCGCAAGAAGAGTATCAGCTCTGCTGCCAGTGTCTCTTCTGAAGATTGCACTATCAGCTAAACCCCAAAACAACCCTAACCCACTCCAGCCGTCATTTTCTGTATCCCTTTTATTTTTTTTTATCAGTTTTTCCCCTCACGTACTACCGGTCATATATACTTATCTCTCTCCCTCTCTCTCTCCTTGATGTACTTTTAAATGTGTCTTTTTTTGTCTTTATCCCGTTACTCTTCTTCTTCTTCTTACAGCGTAAAGTCAGTCCTTTTTTTATTTTCTCTCTCTCTCTATATTTCCAAAACAATGAAGAAAAGAGCTGGGGAAATTGCCTTCCACCTCTCTTTTTTTGTATAAATCAAATTTATTTTCCTGCATATCAACTTGCCCTGCATATTTTACTATTAATTCTGTGCGTCTCTCAGTTAGCAAAAAATAAACATATATACTCTAAATCACAGATCACACTTTTTTCTTCATGAAGAAAACAGTAAACTTACTGTGCCAAAACGTTCAGCACGTCTTTTCTTCTTTTCCGCCTCAGCTTCTTTGGTAGGAACACCAAATCGTTCTGCTCGCTTTCGCTTCTTTTCGTCCTCGACCTCTTTACTGGGTATTCCGAATCGTTCCGCGCGTTTTTTTAATACTTCAGGATCGATACCCTGTATTATATTCGTGCATATGTCCAATGTGAGTTAGTTAGTTAGTAGAGTGGACCAGCAACTTGTTACTTGTATACCAGCATTAGCTTTCAATTTACCTTTGGTGATGAAGAAGAAGGGGAGGGCGAAGAGGGGTTCTTTACTTGCTTTGGAGCCGCCGCGCCAAAACGTTGAGCGCGTAGCTGTTGTTTGCTCTTTTCATCCAAGTCCACATTGAATCGCTTTGCGCGTTCGATCTTTCTTTGAAGGTCAAGTGCTGCAGTATCATTTGTGGCTGCCACGGGCTGTTGTTTGGCGGGCGAGGATGTGGGTGGTTGTGTTGTTGTCTTTGGCAGCGACGACGACGACGACGACGAAGAAGAAGAGGAGCCAAACGTAATAGGTGTATACTTGAAGCTGGATCCAGGTTTTATGATCTCTTTAGGTGGTTCTTCCTTCTTTTGTTCTCCTTGTTGTTTCGTGGAGGTAGTAGCTGTCTCTTGCGTAGCTGACGTCGTTGTCGTGTCCGTGAAGTTTTCAGCTGGTGTTGCTGCTTCAGTCGTTGTTGTTGAAGTAGCAGCAGCAGGAGTTACAGATTGAATAGTATCGTCTTGTTTCTGATCAATGGTCGAAAGTGGAAGCGAGCTACAATATCCCATTGTCAGTTCCTTTGCACTCGCGTGTCCATGCTCCAAATTCAATAATTCTAAAATTTAAAAGAGAAAAAAGAAAGGGAATATACGGTACTCTAAATCATCAACTTTGGTGGATTCTTCAAACTCTTCCAATCCGGCAAGATCGTCAAGCGAAGTAAGCTCAAGTGCCTTCTTTTCATCATGCTTGACAAGACGATCAATCAGATCTTCTTTTTTACCAGTGTGGGGTAAACCATTCTTTTGCAAGATTTCTAAAAGTTAAACCAGTTAGCATCAGCCATGACAATGAGAAACTGTATGACCTTGTTTCTGAATTTATTACCTTGCAATTCTTTCACTTTTAATGATTTGTACTTGTCGGCCATATTATGGTTCTGAATTTGGTATACAGTCTAAAGTTGAGTTGAGATATAAAGAACAAAGCCTTGCGTAGACCAAATTTTAGTGCTTCATAATTTTCGCCTAGCGAAAATTGGGGATTCTTGGTGAAGTTGACGTCGAACCTAAAACTCCTGACATACAAGTGCACCCAGCAGAAAACAAATCTTATAAATACAAATTGTCAACACTTTTCACCCCCTCCCTTCAACAGATTTAGGTTTTCATATGTATTTTCAAGTAAAGTAATTGATTTTTCGCCTCTAATTTTCGCCTTTTTTCGCCTATTTTCGGCTATTTTCGCCCTGGCGAAAAATCAACACTGCTAACTTGTAGCTATTATGCATCGTTTTTTCCTGTGTCTAGCGGACCCACGCCGCACAAAGCGAAATAATTACCAGACTAATCAGTTACTGTGTTCATTTATTGCCATGACGAAGAATAGAAGAAAAGTGCCCACCTGCTTTTCTTTGGGGGATAACCCAAATTTACGATGGCCATCAACTAGACAATTTGGTTGGGTAGGTCTTTTTAAACAAGAGACTCCCTATTCTCCAAAAAGACGTTTCAGTGTACGAAATAGACTACTTTGATAAATACACACAACACTATATAACGGTTCATAGCCATGCGTTCTAGAGGGGTGGGAGGTTTCTTTCAACAGTAAGAGTAAATCCAATGCTCTGTAACCATCGTACGGTACTGGACGACCTTGTATATCCCTTTCGTTCCCATCATCCTCCCATTACACGTATATCTCTCTCCACCTTTTTTAAAACACTCTCGCCTTTTGTTGGTTGACAAAAATGTGACGCAAAAAAGAACGGCAAGATCGACATTGTTGAACGAATCAACAATACTGTTGAGCTCCAGGTAACGCAAACGAGAGCACGCGCGCGCGTGCTTGTCTGTTTCTTTGCATCACCTTCTAGTTGGCATATATAAGGAGTAAATGATGGGTTCGCGTTTTCTCCAAGCACGTCCGCGTTTTAAACCAAACTACACACACCCGTACAGAGTAGAGCTATAGCTTTACTCACGTTCCAGCTGTGAATGACGACGTCAATCAAAAAAAAACTGAAAGTGGAGTACCATAGCAATCGCCATCGCTAACATTTCGGTTCTTCAACGATGAAAGATCAACGGTTAATGCCGAAAATTGCACCAGAAAAGGCATTGCATTGTTATTCTTCATAGACTACTGGCGTATGAGGCTGGTTGAAGGAAGGGGCAATTTTTCAACTCAATTAAGTGAAGCAACCAAAAGATTGATTACTGGTTTAGTGCTGTAATAGCTTGAAATAATGGATGGCAAAGTAATTACCGCTTGGCTTGAACAAGAAGGAGGGGCGTACAATAGCTTTATTTCAGTCAGCGTTTCAAAGAGGGAAGAAAGAGTTTAAATGCCGCAAACTGTGTGTGCCGGTTCCGCGTAAAGTGTGTGTGTGTGTGCTTCTCTCCTTCTACTCTCCTCTTTTTACAGTTTCCCTTTCCTCTTTTTCTTTTACTTGATTGTGTATATTTTTTCTTCTTCTTCTTGTTTACTCTTTCTTTCTTTCCCATTTAAAAACCCTCAACCCCGTTTCCGCCACCACCTTTAATTTGTGTGTGTGCTTAACGGATTCAACCCTCCCGAGAGTCCTTTTTTTTTGTTCCCGAGGAATCATGCCAGCCGTAGGCGATTCATCCACCACTTTTTCGAAGCCGCAGGCCCAACAAAGCAGCAGCGACAATAACAGCGCGTTAAAACCGCCGGAAAAGCCTAGTCCATCTCTATCGAGATTATCATCGACCGAGGATTCAATACCACAACAACAACATCAACATCAACAACGACGACCGCACCTCGCCTACTTGCGGACAGCATGGTCATCTCGTGAACTCAAGACCGGGTCAAAAACACTGGACGCTCATGCCGAAGACCTTGGAGTACCACCCATTGAGCTGCCCGAATCATCAGCAACATTAAGCGGCATTGATCCATTACAAAGTGAAGTGCAACGACTGTTACTCGCTACCAAAGTTGCATGTCTTATAGCACTTGGAGGGCAATTTTACTATCACTATCAAGAATCCTCTTCTTCTTCCTCAGCACTCCCATTGGTCATGATTGCCGCGTGGACACTGATGCTTTTCATGGACTCTTCTGTCTTTGACGTCACCTGTGTCCAAATTTTGACGGTCTTCACATTAGCAGGCGTGTCGCTCAATATCTATCTCGGGCAAAACAGCGAACTCCACAATCTGATGGCGTTTGTACTCGTATCGACAGCCACGTGTCTTTCCATTGTCGCGGGCCGTATCGATCTTGTCAGCAAACAGCATCTCAAGGACGAGCGGAAACGAGCACAGGCATTTGTCAATGAATCAGTACAAGGACTCAAGGACCAACGGTTATCGTTCTTGTCTACGGTGTCACAAGAAGTTCAGGATGCAGCCCTGATGGTCATCACCACCTTGGAGCAGTTTTCTCCGTCCAGCATATTGACAGATACGCACGAGCTGCTGAGTGCCTGTTCGATTGCAGTTCCTATTGCCAGCATTTCGGCCATCAACACTACCATCAAACAAGTGTGCTATGTCAGCTCGCATTTGCAACTCATGGGTCGGTTATTACGTCAAGCACCCAATGACGAAACAGTCCAAAGTGATATACGGATCGAGTTTGATGTTGGTGACCTTGTGCAGAATATTGGTGATGCGTTAGCGGCTATGGCGGCTCGATTGGATGTCAATTTGGTGATTTATCATTCAGAGAATGGAATGCATTATACCAATGTGCTCGGTGACGAAGGAGCTATCCGACATGGATTACTTAATGTAAAGTATTTATCTATTTTATAGGGCGGGGGAAGGAGAAATCATGGGGTTGGTGGAGCTTTGGCGGAACAATAGAGAAAGAAGAAAACTTAACACACATGACCTATACACTGTTTATAGCTTTTGCGAAACATTCTCGAAGGATGCACGCCTGGCGCTTGCATCGAACTAGGGTTGAATATAGTGCCAGCAGAAACTCAGGGCAACAAGCTACTTGTGTCATTTGAGATCATCCACTCTGTCTCGCCCGCGATCCCCGATGGCCTGAGCCCTGCCATGCTGCCGAACGCAAATCTCACGATGCAGTTGCTGCAGTTTATTGGCGGCAAATTGGCAGTGAGCGATGCAGGAAAGAACAAGACGCGGTTTGAGGTGACGATCGAGATGGACGCGGGCAGCGACGGTAGTCGTCGTTTACTGTTGCTGGAAGACTCGTCGTTGAATCTGATCAACAACAAGCAGCTTGCGAGCATCAAGTTCTCCCACGAGCCAACACTAAAGGATCTATTCAAGTTTATTGAAAGTCTCAAGGGATTAAAGATGGTGCTACATGCTCGCGAGCGAAGTGTGTTTGCAAAACATCTTACAAGTTGCTTGGCTGGTTGGAATGCGGATATTAGCCATGTGCCAGTAGTGCGGCAGGCTGCACTTGGTACGATGGACAGTGACGATGCTTCAAGCACGAGCGGCGAAGGATCGTCGATAGCGACCGCCGGAACTGGCAGTGTAGCAGCAACACCACAGCAAGAAATGAATCCGATCACAACGCCCGAATTAGCAGCAGCAGCAACATCGTCACCATCGTCACGCTCGACAACCAACAAAAAAGTACCTTCACCGGCGATTGCAGAAGAACAAATCCATTCGATCCCACCTGCCTTTGTACTGATTGACGACGACGTCGAGACACTCGAACGCAAGATCAGAGAGTTCCGTTCACAGCCGCCCGTGTCGGCCAATACCCTCCAACATCATCAGCATATGCGACGACACAAGCACACCAAATCAAGTGTCAACAATAACAACAGCGGCAGCAATAGTCCGCAGCCCAACTTCTTCCATCAGGGCACGACAGCCATCATCCACTTTACGTCGCTCAACAAGTTTAAGCGGGTGCGCGATACATTGCAGATGTTTTCAACCATGTCCAATATGCCATTTTCAATGCCACGTTTAGTTGTTGTGCCCAAACCTGCAGGTCCGCGTCGGTTCTTGACAGCTTTGCATACGGCATGGAACAATGCTGTGGTTGAACCTCACTTCATCCCTATTGCTACCTCACCCCTAAGTCCTTTACCACAAACCGTGTCGTTTGGGTCTGTCATGCAACAGCAACGTGACTCGTTCACGCCACCTACACCTGGTAGTGCATACATCGGTACCCCGGGTGTTGTTGCTGGTGCCGCAGGACACGAGGTAGACAAGCGTCATCATCATCATTATCATCATCGTGGTTCGCCCATCGCTGGTGTTGAACAACCAGGAAGGCGGCGTCCTAACAGTGGGGTCTACAGTCCACCCCAAGTCTCTTCTTCTGCTGCAGATGGAATGGATGGTGGCAACTACTTTTCCATGGTTGGCAATGGTGGTAGCTCGTCCAGTGCTTCCTCAATAGCAGCAGCAGCAGCCACGAGACGTCGTTCACACACTGAACTTGCTTTGCAGCAACAAGCTGAGGATAAACACACACACCAGCAACAGCAATCATCACCAGCAGCAACAGCAGGAGGAGGAGGAGAGGCTATAAATGCTGATGGTGTCGTACCAACAACTGCGGCTGATACTGTGGCAGCATCGGCACTCTCAACGGCCGCTTTACCTGAAATGACCAATGGCGGTGTTGGCGAGCAGCAGCAACAGCCTTCGTCGTCGTCAATGACTTCTCCTATCGGTGGTGATGCAAGCAAGGGAGGCGCGTCGACGACTGTCTCGGCCACGTCACCATCGACCGCGCCGAACGATACTACAAATAACAGCACTACGCCAGAAAAGAAACCATTGGTATGGCGAAAGATGAACTTCAAGTTCAACAAAAAGAAAAGGGCCTCTGCCTTTGCAAATGTTGTCAGTCCACCCATCAACGTGCTTATTGTTGAAGGCAAGTATCCTCCTTTGTATAAACGACGTAGTAACACTTGTCTCTCTATTGCAAAATTGCCTTTGATCTGGTTTTGGCCAACTTTTTTTTCCGTTATCTCCTAACATTACACACATTTTAGACAACACGATCAATCAAGCCATTCTGTCAACTTGGATGAAAAAACACAAGATCAAGTGCTCTGTTGCCAGTAACGGCCAAGAAGCTGTGGAGCGATGGAAAGGAGGCGGCTTTCACCTTGTGCTGGTAAATTGTCATTGAGAAACAGGGAGTAGTAGGATAATAGTGAGACAGAGTCTGTGGGAAGAGAGAAAAAGTAGGAGCTGATCATCGTTTTCTGTGTGTGTGTGTGTCTCTCTCTCTCTAGATGGATATCCAGCTGCCAGTCATGAATGGTATTGATGCAACCAAGACGATCCGTGCCATTGAAAAGGAGCAACGCATTGGTGTGTTGCCCACAACCTCGCCCACACCCTCGGGATCCACCTCCTCAGCTGCAGCAGTAGCAGCAGCCATGATGGATAATACGTCCACGACCACTGAATCATTGACAGCAGCAGCATCTGCAGCCGCTGCTGCTACACAAGAAGAACCACCACCGTCAACCTTCCGTTCGCCTGTGATCATTGTGGCATTGACGGCTTCTTCGTTGGAATCAGATCGACACGCTGCGCTGGCGGCAGGATGCAATGATTTCCTGACGAAACCTGTCAGTTTGGAGTGGTTGGAAAAGAAAATTATCGAGTGGGGCTGTATGCAGGCACTTATTGATTTTGAGGGCTGGAGACGGTGGAAGCGATCGGCAACCGACAAACCAGCACTCAAATCTGGTACTACTAGTACTACTACTACGTCTCAGCAAAAAGAGCCAGCATCAACGACGCCTAATAGCAGTGGAAACCAAGCGACGAAGAACAGGAATGATGAGGAGGCGACAAAAGCAGTATCGATACCACCCACGGTGGAAGAGGAGGAGGCCACTGGCAGCACTAACAACGATACAAAGGCAGAACCACAACAATCCCCCTCGGCAACGACCAGGAACAAGGGCATCGTTCTTCCTGGCGCAGCTGGATTTTCCAAAAGGCGTTTCTCGACGTTTGACGAAAAGCAATCGTCGCGTGGCAAGAGCATATTGCTCATGTCCAAGAGTGGATCTGATTCAGACCTTTTACCGGGACGCCCCCACGGTGATAAGGATCGACGGAACAACAACATCCAACAACAACAACGACCCACTACCCACAAATAGCGCACTACAAACAAATCATATTCACATACACACAACACAACACAACACAACACAACACATCATACCACACCACAAACACGCGGAACCACATTATTGGGATAATAACAACGGAAAGAGAAACAGGGAGAGAGGCGTTCTGGGAGTAAATCAGTCTTCCTTTAACAAAGAAAGTAAAAGGGAGAATTCACGAGTTTTTCCTGCAAAAATCCTAAAAAAAAGGCCTATCGTTATCATCTTTGTATATATAAGTATAACTATACGTATAAATATGCAAGCAGCACAGTCTCTCTCTCTTTCTGTCATCCCTCTTTTCTTTCTTTCTTTCTTACTCTCTATCTTTTCTGACCTGTCATTCTGTATCGCGCTTAACCCTTTTTTCTTTTTACTTTCATTTTATTTGTCATCGCACATATACTTTCTAAGGAGTAAGAAGCGGGTGTGTAATCATCACTTGTTGCCTGAATGACTCTAAGCAGGAGAAGGATATAGAGAGTGAGGTACACGCAAACTTTAAACCATTTGTTTGTTCTCTTCTCATACATGCATGCATACCGGGCACATACAATAAGAGAGAGCTCACAGACACTTTTGCTTTTCTCTCTTTCTAACGAATATAACGGGGGGGTTGGGGTTGGGGTGCTGTCCTTATATAATAGCCACACAATCCCACAATCTTTTGTTCGAGTAGCTTCTCTTCTTTTCCCTCTAGAATAGTTCACAACATGCCACCACACACAAACACGACAACCGAATTGGCCCGTTTTCTGTCTACTACTGGACCTGAGCAGTTTGTCTTACCGAATAACAACAACAGCAGCAGCAACAGTCATACCGCCATCAAATCTACAGCGCCGTTCTTTCGTCTGCGCTCTTCGACCAAGAGCAAAAAGAACAAAAAGCATACGGCAGAGCCTGTTCCAATTGTCACGACTGCTCCTTCTTCGAACATTTCTTCTTCATCGGCACGTTCTTCCTACCGTCGTCAGCACAAACAGCAACACCACTATCACCATCACAACAACAGTCACCATAACAACTATCAATATCAGCAACATAAAAAGCATATTCCGTTACCTGTTTACGTCCCACCCCAGCCCAAGCCCTTATCATCGCCAGCACCTACGACAGTTGAGACAACAGCACCCTTTTCGACAAGTCCTTCAACCTCATCCATTCCTACGTTTCCCAAACCACCGTCATCTATTGCGTTGCCCACACCCGTCTCAGAAGAGCTACCAGCATCTACTCCTCAACAGCAACAACGGTCATGTTCTCCTCCATCTATCACAAAATCAGCAGGAGACGAATGTCCACACTGCTGTCGTCGCGTTCCATCAAAGAAGCCACGAAGAATATCCTGTCCGCCTGCCATTCATTATACACCTCGTACAACTGCTACTGCTAGCTCTACTACAGATAATTCGACAAGCGACCAACGAACGGGTGGCGGTTTGACAAGTCAAGAAGCGCAAACATTATTGCAGATGATTGAAAAGCTACAGCATCAGCTTGTTCAAGAACAAGCATCCAGACAAGCGTTAGAAAAGACTTTGCGTGCTTGTGATAGCAGTAGTGGCAGTAGTTATAAAGTATAATCTTACTTGCTGACTTTTATTCTATCCTATCTGGTTTTTTTTTTCGATACTATTTCCTCAGCTTACCTGACTCACCACTTACACCACCCATGATACACACACGCAGAGAGAGAGTATAAAGAGAGAGCACTACCTCCTCATCCCGCCCTCTCTCTCCCACTTCCCGTTCCCTTAACTACCCACCTTCTTCTTATCGACATACACAGCAAAGAAGAACGTCATTTTGTAAACAAAAATCCCCTTTTCTTATTGGGATGGTTTGATAACAATAAAAAAACACGAGTATCTCTGTTTTCTTAAACACTGCACCACCTTTTACATTCCATGTCACTCTAACGCTCTATTTCCTTACTACCTAAATACTATCATTTCCTCCTTTTCATGTCTCTTGGCTGAGCAGTTTTGTTTCAACTACATTGTAGTCTGTTATTATACAAAGAGTTGCACCGTCGAGGGATGTGCACAACTTTCTGCTATACTTTCTTACTGGTTGTACAGTATATTTATGAGGTAGCCTACTTTTTGTAGATCAACAAACTGCTTTTCTTATTAACAACAAAAAGTTGGTTTTATCATGACAGCAACTGTAACCATTTAGTAGCAAGACGTGTGTGTCACACAAAGAAAATGTAACAATAAAAGTTGCTGTCAAACAGGTTAACAATATACTTTCATACTATATACACAGGCAAAGGAAACTGTAGAATGTAGGTAATACATACATCGGGTCACCTCCTGGTTCCCTTCATCAATCTCCTTATTTTCTCCTCGTTTATCATTTTTCAACACTATAAGTGTACCACATATTTGGTGTATATTCGTAGTAATATCATACTGTACAATGATGCCATCCTAGGGAGGGTAAGTCATAATACAGTACTACACTGCTTTACAATTTGGGATTGTACAAACAAAGCCACCGCCCTCTACAAATCAGACCTTTTGCATGAAAATGGATGGAGGAGAAGAGGAGAACAAAATGTATAGGAGGATCTGTCTCCACATATATTAATGCGAACATAAACATGGCGTCACAAAAGGTAAATGCAAAAAAAAAACAACAAATGGGAACCCTCCTTGTTGTCGCCATTGCTAACAAACGTCTAATGTATGCTACATATCTTTTGTTTTCCCTTAAATAATAATAACACACGTCTAATGTCAATCATTTCTAAAAGCGACTAGAAAGTTGTGTATAATGTTAGGAACTGTTTATGTGTTTATGAGAAGGAAAGCCCACATACACAGTATTACTTGGTATCATTTTACCTAAATTTACATCGTGTATAAAAAACTTACTGCTACCGTCACTTCTTGGTATATACTGTTGATAATGATATACTGTGCTTTTCACAGATTGTCGGTACAGTATTATACAAAATTCTTTTCAAGTAACTTTTTTTATTGTCTGCTTTTCTCTTATGATAAGAAAGATATTTGTAAAGGAGCAAAACGAGCCAAAGACATGACATGCGACGATCATCGTCTATGCTATATAACTACTGTATACTCCCTCTGAAAAATTACCGGTTGCATGTTAGTCTTTAACGCATGTCACCATAGATTTGTGTAAAAGATCGTAAATCGTCACTGTAAACAATACATTCTTCACAAGTATTATGTATTCCCCTTCCCTCCCTCTCCCTCCTCTTTCTCAACTTCAGAGGGAGATTCATCTCTAAATGCGTACATAATACTACTAGATATTAATCAAAAAAATGTAATATATCATACATTATCATACACATGGACGTTATTCTTCTTCTCTCTTAGCCCGATTAACAAGCTATCAAGAAGGGGGAGCCATCTGGAAAATGACATACTCTGCCTGAACTTGGTTAGATGCATCAAATCAAGGGCAATGATTAAGCTTATGGTATCGATTGCTTAAAAGCTAACGATGTATCTCTCACAGTTATGCACTCTCCGGTTGGTGCTGTATCGTGAGACCCACTTCAATCCTTCATCCTCTTTCAAGATATCCCACATTGTCATATGGCGGCCGAAGAACCTTTATACTAGTCCGCATTGATATACATGGTATGTAGGAATTATTGACAATGTACCTCGTCCACTGTAGTCTTGCTATGATAGCTACATTAAATTCATAATTACATACCATTTTTATATGCGTAAGCTCTACTCAAACACTCAAGAACAAAACAATCTAACCTCTTTTTGTCCTGTAATGATGCCTGATGGTGAACCATTTTATATACATAGTCTATTTTTGAGTCTATCTAGTAATAACTAGCTTATTAAAACTATTAGCAGGGTATCATATGTAATAATAAAAGTAGCCTTTGCAGTTCTAATTCATGTACTACTGTACACATTAACCGGGAGAAACAGGAGCAGAGGTTACTGCGTCCCTACAGGTCCACCCGACGATATGGGATCCACGCTGCGCGTATCTAAAAAAATTCCATAAATGTACTTTCAAAATTTGTATACAAGAATGTTGTTGAGATCCTTCTAATCGTTCTTGCTGAATGCATATGGTCACATACATAAAACAATCATACTTACAAGCTTACACTAAAGTCTTTACTACTGATTTGCGCTTGTTGGTCCCTTGACTAAGATGCGTCCTGGATAAGGCACCTCGGTACGCCAACCATCGCGTTTTAGTAGCTTGAGTGCACTCGGTAACAGCTTCGACTCTCCATATTGAGAGTGTTTACCGACACCCGTTACGATTTTGAGTGGTTTTATACCACGTCGACCTAGTTTAAAAATTTCATAAGTTTCAAGATTTGTTTTTTTTTTTTTTGCTTTGGCTGCTGGAAGTAGTGATTGGTACCTATTTGCATCTGGCTTCGTGACCACCACTGATTTACAGCTTCTTTGAGAAGAACTTGGGCTTCGGCAACGGTAAGACCGTGTAAATCCACCAGGTGATCATCCTGTTCCCGTATCCTGTGAAGAAACAATTTTTTTTAGAATCTACTCACCTACATCATACTTCAATATCTTTTTTACCTCTGGTCTCGTACAAGAGCCCGTGCAGCCCTCAAATTCCAGTTCTTCGCCCGATCATCCAATTGCCGAGCCTAGGATCAAGTTTGAGATTTGAATCAGCATTGCATTTTCTTCCAACTTACAAAAGATCATTCTATGTCCAATTTTTTTCTTTACCTCATTAGAATAATAGAAAGCTATTCCTCCTTCTCCAGGCCCTTTGTTTTTCGTTCTTCGATAAGCTTCTGCTGCTTTACGGAAAAGAGCATTGCGATGCGTGATCAGCTCTATTGCATTATCGCGACACGTTTCCGGATCGTCCTCTTTGTAAGTTTCGACATTGTCGATCAAGAGATACTCTGGAACAGCAGGCAAATCAGTGGTGGCCGTGGTGTCAGACTTTTGTATGCGAAGCAAGGCCATTCTTTCCGCCAGCTCTTGTTGATGTCGATCAAAAGTGAGGGCAAAATCGCACGCCGTCTGTGTCATTTTTTCGACAGTAGGTTTTGCCGCAGCACCATCATCCGAGCTGTTTGCAGAAGCAACAATAACACCGGTAACGATCCGATGGATCTCTTCTGGCGATCGGTCCATGATGATAGCCTTGACAGCATCTTTCACTTGATCCATTTCGCTCATAACGGCCCAAGGAAGCACTGGCTTTAATCTTGGATTTTTTCGCATAAGCTGTCTTACAGATGCTATCACATTTCCATGACATTGTTTCACACAGCCGAGAATTATTATTCGGGAGGCAGCTGGGAATGCCTTGTGTATGTCATCCACTTGTCCATCATATTGGCTCCAAGCATTCGTTGTAGGTAGCGCCGTCAACCCGTTCTCTTGGTCATTCAACATCGACGAGGACGACGCAAGTGGAAGTTTTCCAGTAGACCAAATGACACCCTTATCCTTCTTCTCGGCCTTTTTCTTTGCCCTTCTCTTTTCCATTCGATCGAGTCGAAGAGCCGTTTGATACGATAGTTCGTCGTCCTCTCCGTTGGAACTGTTGGTGCTGTTTTCCGACATTAATGCAACATCCGATTCGAGATAAGCGTCGTTTAGTAGTATATCCGTCGCACTTCCGACATTATTATCTTGTTCTTCTAGCGTTTGGAGAAGCGCTGCACGACTCACTGCAGGGAAGCACACCATCAAAAAGTCGAGGTTCTGCTGCACATCCCCATCATCGCTACTACAGTTGCTATTGTCAATGGACGTCGATTTGGAGTCTTCTCGTTCGTCAGTGCAAGCTGCTGCTGCTACTGCTTGAACTTGTTCGATTTCAAGAGCTTTATCTGCTTCACGTGCAAGCTCTGTCAATATTGGTACACAGGTATCGTACTGTTGACCGTCGTTCCAAATTGCTTCGATTAACGTCGGATCGAGCGGTGGACAAAAGCGTTGCTTTTTTTAGATTCATTTGTTTATTAATTGACAGGTCTTATACATGTGAGAGGCAGAGCAAGTCGTTTGATGAAGCATACCATCAGCTCATCTTTGCCATTGGGCGATTTTTGCGTTTTATATCTTGATCGCGCAGATGATCCATACTGATTGTCTTGAAGTCTTCCCATGGCAACTGTCGCTACTTTAGTTAAAAACGCGCTGGGCGGCGTTGGTTTTGTACGTTGAATAAGAGGCGTTGTTCATTGGTTAAAACTTGATGAGACAATTGATAGAACCAATTGACGGAAACTGGGATGCAACTTATCAATATCAAAGGTCGATTAATATCACAGATGTCTCTGATAGCAGTTCTTTATGCTGCTGCCGCCATAATAATAGTTTGCAGTATGTACTTCATCATGCTAATATCGTCAAAGCGCTCCTGTTGGTAAAAATGTGTCTCATCCGATTAATTTTTATCAGAAAAATTGCATATGATACCCTTCACATTTTATCAAGTATTCGTGCGATATATCACAAAAAGTGACATCAACCAATACAGTATATGATTCTATTTTTCGTCTCTCCCATTCTTGCTGTTTGTTTGATGCAGCATCGCATCATACATACCACAGAATAAATGGAAGTAAAAGTATACTTGGCTATTCATTTCTTGTATTGATCATGATTATACAGCACAACAGAAGCTATGACACATTAGAGTAACAGCACATATTATGTACCATCAGAATTTCGTTCTTCCTATTGTTGGTACCATAAGAGTGGCAAACCAAGATTACTTCTTGTAGAATGTATAAGCTCTGTATATCATATTAATGTGGTAGCATGCTACATGAAACAGCCGTGAATATAGGCAACAGTACTATGCAGAAAATGCAAGTAATTCATGTTCATTAATATTTGGGGTATGATACAGTATCCGTAGTAGCCAGCAAGATCTTATTGATACCGAATAGTAGTACGTACATATAATTGGAACAGTGGTAATGGTGCTCACAAGATGCGGCGAGAAGCATCGTCTTTCTAGGAGCATGAGTATCTGAAGCTTCGATGTTCCATTGATTTACTGCCAGATTGCTGATGGAAAATGGAAACATCCTCTCAAGAAGACAATTAGCATAGTAGTAGTAGTAGAGGTGCATGGTTATATGTTATCCGCAAAAAAAATAAGAAAAAGCCCATCACATTTGTTTTATTCAGCCTTGGATGATCCAAATCCAGAAAATCCCATCAGTTTAGCCATTTCATCTTCCTTTTCTGCATCGTCTTCTTCTCCTTCTCCCTGTCGTGACGATGATGATGGTTCTTTTGCATGCTTTTTCTTTTTGGCTTCCTTCTTTTGCCGTTTCCGTTCTTTTCGTTGTTGTCGTTCTTCTTCCTCCTTTTGTTTTAATGCAGCCACTCGAGAATCCAAATCTACATACAAAATCATGTTCCATTAGTTCACATCACCTATTTTCCTACGTAATAAACAGATAACACACAGTCTCTCTCTTACCATATTCCTCTTCTTCAGGCGCTTCCTTTTTCCGTTTCAGCAAGGCCAAACGGTCCTTCACAGAGTCAACAGATGCTCGCTCAACCTTTAACTGCACGCCCACGGCCTGTTGATCTGAAATAGATATAAAAATGTCAACAACAAGAATCTGTCGTCGCGCAATCAAAAGAATAAAAACTTACGCTTCCGGCCATTGATATGATCTAAATAATTAACGCTGTCTTTCACCACAATATTACATGCTTTACAATAAAAGCCTGGCTGCCTTGACGCTTCACCCGTGGCACCTCCTTGAACCACTTGAATTTTGCCCAGATTGGCATCCAACTGTATCTTGTTTTCACGCATCTTCATCAGTTCCTTGGGTTGTTGATCGTCCTGTTCATTTTTAGGCTTTATTGCTGGTAATCCTCGTCGTTTTCGGTCTTCGTTCTTTTCATTCAAACGATCTCGTTCTTCTCGAGCGCGTGCGCGCTCTGCATATTCGGATCGATCCCATTTACGTCGGAAATCAGTATCGCCCTGTTTTACATGAAGAAATGAGTTTGATTAAATTCTATTTGAGATCAATGTGATTAAAACAACAAAATTGTATCAATGTTAAAAGTGCTTACTGCTTTGCCAGCACCGTATGCGCTCATTGTATAAAGGTATATATGTATTGTGTTTTGGAAGAAAGAAATGTATGCTTGTGCTGGTTTTCAAAACCACAGGTCTGGAGGAATAAAATGATTGGCGCTGTTGTCTGGGCGAGAAGAAGAAGAGGATGAAGGAGTGCGGGGAGCGCTCGTAGTACGTGGAGGTACAGAAAATGGAGTTAACTGTGGCAGAGGATGAGGATATGCGTGATAAAAGTAGCTGCTATGTTGTGGGTACTGGTGATGATTGTGATATGAGCTGTTATAATGATCTGACGCTATTGTAGCTTTCCGTTTTTTTCGAGGCTTATGTAGTTCGTCTTCAATTTCGTTATCATTGGTGGAGGTAGTTATGGTGGCCTCTGCTTCGTTGCGCAGCTGCGGACTGATCTCCTTTTGACGCAATTTCTTGTCGAGTCCAGTAAACGTTTTCAATTTGTCTCCCTGGGTCTCCAGTCGAGACTCGTGCTTTCTAAGCAGCTTTTCTTCGTTCTCGGATAATGCCTTTCGAAACTCGCTGTAGGAAACATGGTCTGTTCATAATGACGATGCTTCAGTTAAGCAAACTTTCTTGTGCATAGCATCAAACAGTTTTATGTTTCTTACCAGGTAGCGCCATCAAATGAACTCCTTTCTCTTCTAGCATAGTCAAAAAGCCTTCATCGTCTGGGCCAAGCAGGTTGACAGCAATGCCTGATGTTCCTGTAGAAGATGTCAAAGGATAAGCACGCGTTCATTGTACAACATACTTGGAATCTGCATTATCCACATCACGGTAACCCTTAACTTAAAACTTACCAAATCGACCAGTCCGACCCACACGATGCATGTACGTATCAGCTTCGCGTGGATAATCAATATTGATTACCAAATTGACTCGATCGATATCAATGCCGCGAGCGATCTTAAAAAAGAATCACGACTCTTATGAGAAATTTCGCGTAACACAGTACATCGAAAAGGATCAGCATCTTACAAGGTCACTGCATACGAGAACTCGTAATTTGAATTCTCGCATCTTCTCCATCACACTAATTCGTTGAACTTGCGTCAAACTACCGCTAATATGCCCTGACATCCATCCTTCTTGGGTTAACCATTTGGACAATTCTACAGCTCTTATGAAGATATAACGACGCGTTTCTTTTTTCAGTTACCCGTTACTATTTTTTTGCTTCCTCTTTCATCAGATCAATCTTTTACCTTGGTGCACTGTTGACGAAAACCATGCACTGATAAAATGGGATTTTGCTCAGTAGTTCAGCCGTCGTCTCAAACTTTGCCTTGTACATTTTGAGTCGCTTCTTGTATTCACTATCGTTCATTTCTATGCTTGCATCGTCCAGCGTAATCTTTTTATAGTACTGCTGTACTTCTATACGTCGCATGGAGGATGGTAAATAAGCAATCAACCCTATCTGTGCTTATGATATGTTTAGATTTACCTTCTAGTTCCGGAACATCTGTAGTAAGCCGTACAATTTGTGGTTCATACATGAGACTTTGGAACGTTTCGAGTAGCTCTTCGGTGAAAGTTGCAGAAAATGCTAGTGTCTGTTTCTTTTTTGGAAGTTTACCATGGATGTACCTGAAAAGTTCAAAGGGAACATGGGGTGGAAATTTCAGTTGCTGTTGTTATTCTTTCCCCTAACTCGCTCTTATTAATGGAAAAAAAAAGACATACTGGACTTGCTGTCCGAAGACGTCTGACATGAGTTTGTCTGCCTCATCCATGACGAAAAGCTTGATATCATTTGTGTTCAAGGAGTTGCTATGCAGTAATGCCATCAATCGACCTATACATACGCACATGCAAGGATGATCAGAAATAAGTCTTTTTAACATACGGCTATATAGAACACCTAATAAATTAATCTTTTCTTTTTACCTGGTGTGCCAACAACAATTTGACAGTTTTTTAACCGCTTGACGTCAGTGTGAGTTGCTATGCCTCCTATAAACGCTTCACAATGGACACCAGGTGTATATTTGGCCAGGTTCCGAACAACGTCTCGTATCTGTATGGCTATTTCGCGTGTTGGCGCCACCATAAGAACCTTTTAAGCATATGTATAGCGAGAGTTAGATATGTACACGATCTTTCCACATTCCGTGAACGCAAGCAAACAGAAACACATTGTGTCTTTTACTTGAGGAGTTTTGATATCCGTTTGAATAGCTTCCAGACTAATGACACCAAACACGACCGTTTTTCCAGTACCGGATTTCGCTTGTGCAATAAGATCAACACCGAGTCGACCGAGCGGAATGGCTTGTAGTTGAATAGGTGACGGGCGGGCGTACCCTGCCTGCTCAAGGCCTTTCAGCAATTGTTTGTTTTGTACAAGGGCTTCGAAATCAACGTCTTCATTGATCTGGACATCGCGCGATCGATTCATATAGAGTGCTTTAAGAGAGGAGGGGAAAAAAAGGTGCTATATCCCCGCGCATAATTTTCTTTCAGGCAATAAGTATTCGAAAGAAGATAGTCCATACGCCTGCCATACAGTTTTCATTGTATTGTTCCATGGTATCCATCCTTCAAGGCTACTTTTTGTGATTTACTATACAAAGTATATGCAATAGCCATAGTATGTTGAATACTTTGCAAGTGATACGAACCATCAAAAAAGTTATGCCACCCAAAACAGCCAGATTTCAATATGATTGGTGAATTTGAGAGCTGTGTTTCTGCAACCTTTTGTTCCCGAAAACTTTTTTGTTCAGTAACACCCTTTTTATTTGAATTCCAACACAAAATGGGCCGGTACGTTTAGGCGAGAAAATAAAAAAGTGAAGCAGGATTTGAATCTAATCAAAAACAAATGTAGCTTACGACGATCACGAACACATCACGGCATTCGAGACATATACCGCAAATACCGAACTCGTAACTATGCTCGTGATCTCGACCAGATCCATGACGATATCAAGCCGGAGAATGTCGACAAGTACAAAAACCAGGCGTTAGATCCAGATAAGCCAGGTCTTGGTCAGAACTACTGCGTCGAGTGCGCGTAAGTGTGATACTCTTAGAATCAAAAAAAGTGTGTTTAATATATATTTATTTGGGTGTTGTATAGTCGTCACTTTATCAATCCAGATGCACTTAAAGAACATGTCCGTGGGAAGACACACAAGAAGCGAGTCAAGTTGCTAAAGGAAGAACCTTATACGCAGGCAGAGGTAATACATTTGTCCTTATATGTGGATCAATTTGATGGAAAGGGGAGAACTCATTGACATGTCTTTTATTTTTGGTGTAGGCTGATGCCGCAGCAGGATTGGGCAAGGCTGATAACGGCAAGCGAGGAGGTCGTTCATTGGCATCCGGGGACGTTGACATGGAAGATCAGTAGACACCGTATCTTCAACGGGTGCCGTAGCAGCAGTAGCAGCAGCAGCAGCAGCAGCAAGCCAACATATAAACATCATTATTATGCAACATCCATCTTTCTTCATCTCTCTATTTCTTTCACACACATACATCTTCATCACAGACGAACCCAACCCCTTATGTCTGCTATTGTCCATTTTAACATTCATCTAGTTTTTTATACAGCACGATATAATACATTTGCGAGGATTCTATTTCATCATGCACGATCCAGGAGGGTGGGGGTGGATAAAGGATAGAAGCGTTCCCTTTATGGCAACACTGCAAGCCTATAGTGTGCAGATGGGTTTGGGTGAACTAAGTGATTCACAAAGGGAGAACACGCTGAGCGAGAGAGGAAGAAGAAAGAGACACGCAGGAAGGACAGTTCCATCCAAGCAAAGGGGAGCAAGCACACAAGAGAGCAAAAGACGACGAATCCAGTTCCTTGGATGGATGAGCAAGTGCATATGAGATGCGTCTGTTTTACGTTGAAGTTGTTCTCCTTAACGCTTTTGCCTCCCATATTTCCTCTCTCTCTCTCTCTCTCTTTCTTTTATCTTTTCGTTCTTTCTTTCTCTCTTTCCCTGCCCCCTCGTCTTCTTCTCCAGCCTTTTCTTTTATTTTTATTAACCTGGTTATACAATCCGCACACGACATTGAATAAAAGGGAATGCCAGATGTTTTAACCTCCTCATCGGCATTCCGCCGTCGCCACCGAGCTGGGTCAGCACAATTGTTACGCAGAACCACCGAATATGACAGCAACAACAGCAACTGTCTGTTGCACAATAGCAGTGACGACCAGCATGACGCCCGACGAGGAAGCAAACGATTCCTCAAGTGGACAGCATGCTTTGCATTCGTGACCAAATTCAAACGCTCAAAGTCGGAAAAGCTGGACTTTATATCGGAAATCGAACCAGGGCGGCGCCGCTCTAGCAATTCCAACAACTACAGAAGCAGCAGCAGTTGTCCTGCGGCTGTTGACGTAGCACAAGACCAACAGCAGCAGCAACTACACGAAAAACAGTTGTTAGCGCTGTCATCTTCACCACTGCAACAACGACACACGATGAATAACCACAATCGACGGCCTTTCTCACAGTATCTGGAGCGTCCAACCTCCATGGATCCAGATCAAGATTCTATTGGTAAGAAGCACACACAAAAACAGAATAAAAAAGCTATGGATCACACGCCCCAGAATTAATAAAACGACCGTTTATTATCAACACTATTGCTAAACAAAAATTACTATATACACGAATGAAGCAAGCACATTGCTGCAGTGGAAAGAAGGCACGGGATCATTACCGGTGTCACCGTTATCTGCGCTATCGCCTCCACCACGCCATGCCATGAAAGAGCGATCAAGGAGTTTGACCGCCGAAGAAGATACGCTTTCGGAGGTTCCGCCATTGCCGATGCCTCGCAAGCGCAAAGCAACGACGATCAGCCGATCTCTGGCGCTGCGCCTGTCACTTGACGTGGACCAACAATATTACTCATCCTCAGGAATAACGCACAGCTCGTCTGGATTTTCGAATGGCACCAGCAGCGACTTTTTAAAAAGAGGAGACCATGACGAGGAAGACGATACTGCAAGTAGTGTCTCTTCATCTCAACAACAACAACAGCGGGCCTCGTCTGGTGCTATCCTCCACAATAATAACAGTACAACCCCCGAAGCAAAATTACGATTATCGTCGATTGAACCTTCTTCTACTAGTACACTTGATCTTCATAAAGACCCACAGCAACGACGGCAGCAGCACCGTGTCAGCCCCATTACTATTCCGGAAATAGATACACTGAAAGATCGACAGCAACAAGAAGAAGAGGATGAAAGCAGTGATTATGGTGATTTGATTAACGAGTTTCGACTTCCCTCTGAGAAGCTTCCTAACAAACAACAGCAACAACAAGAGAAAAAACAACAGAGCATCAGCAGCAGTAGTAGCAACGATAAGGATGATGATGATAGTGATGATAACAGCAGTACAGTGGCTGTTCCTGCTACTGTTGTTGAGGTACAGAAGAATAGGGAGGCTAGCAAGGAGGTTAGCAAGCACCCATTGGATACTACTCAAGAAAACAACAATAGCTACTACTATTTCTATGACAGCAACAGCAATAACGGTCCACCTAAGCCCTTTGTGAGTCGATCGACAATCACAGCACGAGACCTGAGTCGACAAAAGGCAATGGAAGCACTAGAAGGCCATTTTGCAGCACTAGAGCCGACTGGGTCAAAGTCTATGGACATAGTCAGGGACAAGGCACACTATGACGCCGTAGTTGCGGGTACGATGCACCGACGACCCTATACACAGTATTTGCGTGCACAGCCAGACGCCAAGGAGGAGGAGGAGGAGGATAATAACAGCAGTGGCCTCCAACAACAGACTACGACGACGATCGACCAACAAAAGGAGAAGAAGAATGCCCGTTATGTCAAGGCTTCTTCTGCAGTCTTTGCAGGCTACAACAGCAAGTTGTATCGTCCCTCTTTGGTCTTTTTCCCACCTTCACCTAATTCGATCAACTCTGACTACTGATTCTACTACTACTACTACCTGTCCTTATGCATTCCCAATGGATCAGCACACAGTTTACAGCACCCCCATAAAGAAAAAGTCATGGCAAGGCGAGGGAAAAGAGCAGTCTGGTTACTGTCTCTAAGTACTCATTACTTTCATCATTAGTAATGTCTCCCCTCCTCTTTTTTCTTTCTAATCTTAGTTATGTTACCTAGTACACTTTCCCCACCCCCTTCTTCTCCTCTCTGAACACACTCTCTCCTCTTCATCGTGCAATACCATCGACAACAACAGCATACCCTTCCCAAATATCTCTCTCTCTCTCTACCGTTATTTTGTTCCAACAAAGAAAAAAAAAAAGCCCTTTATTTATTAATAATTTATTTCGTTTGCTCGTCTTTGTATTCTTGTACATATTTCTCAAAACTCGAAGCGACTTCTTGGGCCGTCGTATCCTTGGCATAACAATCGACAAATTTGCCCTCCGGATCCATGAGATAGAAAAAGATGGAATGGTCGACCAAGTAATCTTCGCCCTCGGCTACATTTGGCGGGGATGACACATACACTCGGAACGATTTCGCTACCTTGCGGATTTCGGTCTGATCGCCTGTCAAACCAATCATGTCGGGGTGGAAATCTTTGACGTATTCCTTGACAATCTCGGCTGTGTCACGGCGTGGATCGCATGTAATAAACACTGGCACCAAGTCGAGCTTTTTCTCCTCTAACAAACCCACCCCCAGAACATTTGCGTGTTTAGTGATTATTTGTTCTTAATAGTGACTAATATATATATAACTTACTGGCCATGTCAACGACTTCAGCCATCTTGTCCAATTCCTCGGGACAGATATCAGGACAATGGGTAAAGCCAAAGTAGACCATATAAAACCGTCCAGCGAGTTCCTTGACGCTGTTAAATTTCTCGCCGTTCTCTGCATTGATCAGTTCAAAAGGCCCACCGATCTTGGGTTTACCATATGCTTTCACGGTTTCGCGTGCCTTTTCGTCACCTACACAAATAGTATTTTTTTTAGTTCATAACAATATCACTTTATGTATTCGACCGTTTTTTTCGGCGTCTTCCAATTCCATTTGGCTTTCGCCAAAACAAAAAATAAACTTACGAAGCTTTTCAACACGTTCTTTTTCCGATCGAAAGTATAACAGTAATCCGGCACCGGTACCCAAAAACAATGCTGCTGCTTTCCAGTTAAACACCTAAACATAATATTCCATTAATCGTTAGCATGCCGAAATGGAAACATGTGTATAAATATTGTCATAGTGTCCTATACATACACCAATTGCAGCACGGCTTCGGGCTCTTTGTTCGTCGCGTGCAGTGGACAAGAATCGTCGCTGGAGTGTTGTTGTTACTGCAGATCGGTGTTGTAATGGCCGTCGCAATGCTGCAGCTGCTAATGTCTTTTAACATTCCTTGTAAGTCTTTTTTTTCTGTGTGGTACTCTTTTGTAAGAGATACTTTTATCTCACCTTGACACCTGACCGGAGCATATTATTATTGTTATGAGTTAAGAGTGTGCTTAAAAAAAAAGAAAAAGTGTGTGCCCGAAGTCCGAAATAGGTCAGGGTTGCCCTTCAAAAAAACGTCGGATGTCAGATTCTCCACTTGCCGAAATGCATTGCTTTGCGGTTTCTGCCTGTTTTCACTCCTGCCAATTGAAAAGGTCCTCCGACGCCTAAATGAAAAAAAAGAAATTGCCCTGCCAATTATTAGGAAAACTTCAGCAGCAATAACGAATGTGTTACCTAACAACGCAACTTTCATGATTTTGTTTCCATGACAGCATGCTTTCCATAGCAGCCGTTTATAGTAGACACTATCACGACATAGCACAGAGCGTCTTTTCTGCAACAATGACACTTACTATGGTCTGTACCCCACCGCATTAACTTACAGAAGGGGACAATCCCACCCAACTTGAATTTTTTCAAGAGCTACATAGAAGGGTGTAGTACATCATCAATACAGTACACTGCTTAACGTACGTAGGAGATACGCTAGATGCATCCGGGCTCGCTCTACCAGCAGTATTCAAAGACGTGGTAGCAATTAAACGATGCAACAAAGTAGTAAATTACCTGCTTTCTTTATTATCAAAGACCGAGAGTATTATCGTTAGAGGAGAGGAGGACAACAACAACATTAAACTAGGTACGAATTCGTCGGGCAGCGACCCGCATAACCCAGTTGCCGTGTTTAGGAGTATAGTTAAGAGAAGAAATGGACAACAGTCCAGATTTAAATAAAGTCATCATTCTTGACAACAGCATCGTAATGTACAACCTTAAATATCTTGCCAGTCATAATCAGGATAATGAGAAGCTAATATAAAAAAAGCAGTGGATGCAATAATGTTTTACAAAATCATCTTATATAGTTGCTAATACTGCTACGTTCACTACACCAATCAACAACGGCGAAGGAGACAATCCCAACGAACAAACTTACAGCGACAACGAACAGAACAGTAGCGACGGTAGTACGATGATCACTTGTACTATGAGCATAACGGCGCACCACATTACCGCCGGGACAAATGTCTCTATCCACTGATGAAGCACCTACATTCATCTTGAAGAAGTGCGTTCGAAAACCTTGCCCTCTCTCTACTTGTCAAGGGTGCTCGCTTTAATGAAAGCAGTGGTGTCTTATAAACCAGGATGGGGGTGAGGCGCCAAGCGCAGTACGGGCAGGATTCTTTGTTCTTTAATAAATTACGCGTCTTTCGTCAAGACACCATATGCTTTTGTCGCTTGCACAACGATGAAGCTTGTATCCGCGAAGTATCTCTAGTTAGTCGCTGAAGAAAATTTAGATGCTGATTGCAATGTTTGCTGATTCGGGCAGGATGGAGCACGATATCATGATATTTTAGACACTGTCACCTTTTGCTTTGAAATACATACATGTGATTTGTAGCGAGCGAGGAAGTACTGTACGAGATGCAAAGCTTGCCACTGAACGGGTAGGTCATTCTTTAACCGGCTGGTACGCGTTCGTATACCGTCCCATTGAATTTCCATATCTAGCATTCTACTTCTGTTCCCAGTTTTAGCTACAGAATTGAATGCTTAATAGAGCGTTCGTACTTTTTCAGAAAGATATATTACGTATTTTTATATTTATCACCAATGGTGTATCCAGCATTATGGGATTAGGTAAATGAAATGGCGTGCTTAGCGCGATTTTAAGTATCATAATATTGATACCTTAATCTTGCCACCTTTTTACTCTCTCGTTTAGCCCGCAATTCGCGCCCGTTTTCATACACTGCTATCGGTATAAAATCTAAACATTTCTTGCCTCAACCTTGTTCTAGATGACTTTGACAGCGGAAGGTTGCGCTTGTTGTTTTCAGTAGCGGCGTTGGTAGTACTTTGGCTCTTTTGTCCCTAGAATAACATCCTCTTTTTTGCAGCATTGCAGTCGTGTACATATTTCCTAAAGTAATTTATTTTCGCTATTTTGTTCAAATCTGCATGTAGTGGGATGGTCCATCTTACAAGTGCAGTCTAGTTTTTTAAAAGGAACGCCATCAGTGGGTAAAACTGTGATAAATCTAGATTTCGTGTACGGAACAGTTTATATATAAAGTATTTTGGAAATATGAAATTTACAGTGAATGGGTCTGATGCGAATTACAAAGCGCAGAATTACATATTAGATAGTCTAGCTAAGAGTTGTTGAATTCATGCCTTTTGTGTTTTGTGAGTAGTGGGTCGTATACTGCACTTGTGGAAGGATAAACGCGTTGCCGATCCAAACCACCAATCCAGTGATAATAAGCAGAAAGACAATCATGCCAACGGTACCGAGAATGATTCTGCTCTTGGCACTAAACCGCCGTCGTCGCTGAAGCCAGGCCGACTGCTCCGTTGCCGCTGTTAGAGGTCGTGAATAACTGCCCCCTCCTTTTCCGACCTTGGTACCAACGGAGCTGAGAGATTCGTCGGTAACAACAGTTCTACTTGAGCCCGCGGGCGTGTTTGTTCCATTGCTGTAAATATAGTAATAGTATTCGGGAGGCGCTTCCGGCGGAAATATATCGTGGGTTTTTTGTCTTGTATACATTGGGTCGGGTGGTTTTAAGGAAGGGCATGATGCAGCTTTGGGATCTTGGTATTGATTCATTGTCGGTGGCCACATTGTTTGGTTTTATGTGTGTGTATTGTGCTGCGAATTATTTGTTATAGTATGTAGTTCGATCACTACTACTATATAATTCAAACAGTTAGAGAGTGAGATAACGTAGGAAAGTTGAGCGAGTGGATTGGAGGAGTTCAAAAGGGAATTGTTTGTTATCACTACCGTTTGTATTTTCCATTATTTATTATGTTTTGAGTTGATTGAAACAGGGTTTACTCGGTTATTAACCTCGCCGATTTCGAGCATTGTTATTTTCCCTGCAGGAGTCTGATATCAATGTTCAATCTGTATAGCTAGTGTCGCTGTAGCAAACGGAACTTCATCATGTTGGTTTGACGCACAGACAGGATGAATCTCGCTACAGCTGCTGCAGCAAAGAAGAAGAAGACTGTGATGATGGTCCGAGTACGTTGTCAGTGTTGTTATCATAGGACGTGAAACGTGCCTTTCGAAAAATTACCATATCACGACATCAGTGAGACATAAAGGGTCTGGGATGCAAATGTTCGATAACTGGCTGAGAGCCCTGAATTATGCACGTGTTTTGCATTATTTTATATAATACCGAGTAACCAATATGTATCTTTCTGTATGTCGAACAATGCATGAGTGCAGCTCAGTACTGGCAACACAATAAGGGTCTACAGCATGAATGGCTATTTCTCCCAGATGCTCAAATGCAGCTGGTGTTGTGTAACCAACTACTAATCACGGAGACCTGTGTGTTCTAAATAACAATGACACACATAGGGACTCCAACTTGATTCGCGTGTACTTGACAGCAAGCTGGGTATGACTTGGCAGCACGTTAAATTTCACAAGCAGACACAGTGCGGGACTTGAAGAAGGATGAGAATGTGTGGGGAAGGTTCATTTGTAATAGATGAAGTCTGATTTAGATGTGATGCTAGTGTGCGCGTACGAAAATCGCTTCTTGTCGATTTTTGGGTGGGGAGAAAGTGTTTTGGACTTGGCGCATACACGGATCGTGTACGTATTAAATACAGACCAAAGTGTATGGGACCCGACATCCAGAAATAGAGCACACAATTTCTGGGGCACTGGGTCTCTGCTCATTCACCCACTACTGCCGCTGCTGCTGTGAGCGAGCATATAATTTTGATAATCAAAATCATGTCCGAAAAAAGGCGAGTACACTATTCCTGTCTTCTCGTTTTAATCTCTTTTTATTTTTGTGCTTTACTCTCCTTATTAAAAATGGGTCGTTTGGAGGATCAGCTCGCGTCAGTACTCAACAAACGACAACAGATCGCGAAACGACGCCAACTCGTGGTTAATTCTGCAAATGCCATTGATTTCTCGTCCAATGACTTTCTCGGACTGGCACAAAACAGTGTTTTACGTAAACGGTACCTTGACGAGCTGAATTCACTTGACACCGTGCTCGGCTCCACAGGATCGCGATTGTTAGACGGTAATTCACAATACGCGATCGATTTAGAGCAGCAGATCGCCAAGTTTCACGGGGCCGACTCAGCATTGCTATTCAACTCGGGTTTCGACGCCAACACGGGCCTATTCAGTACACTGCCGCAAAAAGGAGACATTGTTATCTACGATGAACTCGTCCATGCTAGTGTACACGAAGGAATGCGAGTTTCACGCGCAGGCCGCTTGATACCTTTCAAACATTCGGATGTAGCCGACCTGGATCGCGTGCTAATAGAAATCGGGTATTCGACCGACAAGAACGTCTTTATTGCTGTGGAAACCGTGTATTCCATGGATGGCGACGTTGCGCCACTGGTGGAGATTGTACAGTTGTTGAGGAAATACTGGCCGGAACGAGAAAACGGATACATTATCGTGGATGAGGTATAAAGAAATGGAAAACTCTGGGTGAGCGGGTAGGGTATCGGTCTTCGTTGTTGTCTTCTTAACATCTTGGGGGGGGGGGCTTTTTGGTCATACAAATTAGGCACACGCTACAGGCGTCTATGGGGAGAGTGGGCGTGGTGTCGTTTGTCAACTGGGACTTGAAAAAGAGATCTTTGCGCGGTTGCATACGTTTGGCAAGTCATTGGCCAGCAGTGGAGGTAAATCAGCTGGTCCATTTTCCATAATTGCCACGCCATTTTTGACGCCATCTGACGCATCGAGGCTCTCTTTCTTTTTCTGTACCCGGTATAGCCGCCGTCCTTGGTTCGAATACTCTACGCGACTATTTGATTAATTATGCTCGACCGCTTATTTATTCGACTTTCCTGCCTTTCAGCAGCTTGGCAAGCATCAAATGCTCGTACGACTTTCTGGAATGTGGCGAGACACTAGCAGTAAGTGTTCTTTAATTGAAAGGCAACAGTAAGCCTGTGTCACTCACACGGATACTCTCTGTTTAGATCCAACGACATTTGCACACCATTACACGCCAATTCAGAGAAGCTATCCGCCTGCCCACTGGAACCTTACTACCATCAGATAGCCCAATCCAAGGCATTGTGCTCAATGGTATGACCTCAATGGCCATAGTGGAATAAAGTCTTATTTGTGTTACCGAGCTGACCAGTTGTGCTTGTTGTAGGAAACGCACCTGTTCGTGCCCTTGCAGGATACTTGAATAAGCGCGGGTTTATCGTCAAGCCCATCTGTTCACCTACTGTTCCAAAAGGTCAAGAACGGGTCAGAATCTGTCTTCATGGTCACAACACAATAGAGCAAATCGACTCTCTCGTCTCTGCAGTCCATGAATTCTTCAATGTCGAAAAACATAACAGCATTGCTCCATCTGCTTCTGCTTTGGAACCAGCAAAGCTGTAAACTGTACATTTTTACTATTACACCAAACCACATACGCCGATATACATATTCAGACACATTTTTGTTAATTGCATTAAAAACCCACGCACAACCTTCCTCCTTTTTTCTTCTCAGAAAACTATGACATTCAATATCATTATACTTCAATACATACTCCAATAATGACTATTTTGCAGTGAACACCAAAATGACGAGTGAACTACAGCAGCAGCAACAACAACAGAATAGCGACGATGGAATCAATGCAGCATTAGCGCCTCTCTTTTCGACTTTTTCACTTCCCCAATTGGAATCCGTCTTGTACGCATTTCTGCCATCGCGAATCGAGCGACACGTACCGAAAACCGGGATATATGCAGTTGATACGTTCGTTGTCACCGCAACCGTGACATTCATTCTGGTGGCTGCCAAAATAGCCTTGTTGCTGGCCAACACGGTGCTAAAAAAAAGTCAACGACGACACGATTCAGAGTTAGAAACCAAGGGTGACATTGCTATTGTCATAGAACCCATGACTTCACAAGATGAATACCACACGAGTAAGTTGCTGTTCTCCTCTACCTCCTCCTCCTCCTCCTCTCAACAAGACAAGTCCAACAACAGCGACACTGTGCATCTAAATAACACTCTCGGCCTGCTCCATGCACACTATAACTCTCCTATTCCTCCTCACGACGCCATGACAGCACCCAATGTCTTCCATCAAGCCTTGTCCCACCTCGTTTCAAGAGGGGTCCAGTCAAAAGGGCACGGATATTATACCATGAAACCCAATCTTGCGGTAGACCATTCTCCCTTGGAACCTCCTGCCTTTAACATTGTCCCACAAACTGGCCAAGGTACTCTATGATAAATCTATGCATATAATGCTTTGATTGCTAATTAGCATAAAAACACAACAGCCTATTCTGTAAAGCACGAAGAGTGCACTTTATATATCACTTTTCAGACACCCACTCCTCCACCAATAACTGGCATTGTGAGCGACAAGCAGTCTGCAGCTAATAGCGGCGAGCCTTCCATACGGATTTCCATGATCGGCTGCAGGAAGCATGGCGCAACAGTATCCAGCTTGGCCACGTTCCTCAACAAAGTTGCACATGATTACCTCGTCCACATGGATTCACTACGCAAACAAACCCGATCGCGTTATGATTATTCAGCTTCTGGTCAATGGCTGAGAATATGTTCGCTGTACGAAAACCAAGGACTTCAAACAGTTGCACTCTGTCCCAAAAGTGAAGCGTTAATCGCCAAAGATCTTGAAACATTTGTACAAAACAAGGGCTTTTACAAACGAATAGGCGCACCGTATGTTCGTGGCTATCTCCTCCATGGCAAACCTGGCACTGGAAAGACTTCGCTGATTTTTGCTATTGCGTAAGAGTGTTGAAGCAATGTGCATTACGACTTGATACTTTCTTTTTTACTGACATCAGTTTCCTATGCGTCTGTAGATCGTTCTTGAAGCGCCACCTGTATTTTATGAATCTTAGCTATATTGACTCGGACTCAGAATTATCTAAAGCATTTGCTAGCGTACCTGCCAATAGCATTGTGGTTTTTGAGGATATTGATACGATGACTACGGTGAGTTAACAGCCAGCAAGTTCATCTGATGATTTGGCTAACCTAAAGTGGGAAAAATGTCAAGACATTGCATAGACGAACTGGTGTGGAACGCGCTATGCATGCCATCGGGTCCGAGAAACAAGACAACAACAACAATAACAAACGACAGCATCGATTTAATTTGAGCACGTTTTTATCGATTCTGGATGGTCATACTCTAGAAGAAGGAATCATCTTTATCATGACCAGTAATCATCCCAAAGTTCTCGATCCAGCAATTATTCGTCCTGGTAAGAAATTTGTAATGTATTTAAACAAGACAGAGGTTGCTATAGTGTTGTGCTAGTGAGAACAATGGATGAGGCTAATGTAAAAGAGGATCTTTTTCTTAGGTCGTATGGATGTACATTTGGACTTGACGTTTGCGACACATTATCAAATGCGGCGGATGTATCGGATGGTTTTGGAAGAGGGCGATCCAAGTACATTGGATGATGTTTATTCACAGTTGGAACAGGATATTCCAGAGTTTGTTATCCCGCCAAGCGAAATTATGCAGATTATGGTCCTATGTCGCGAGCATGTCAAAGACATTCCTGCCAAATTACGACGTTTGACTGAAAAATACCAAGAAGACCGAGGCTCCGATAATGCATCACCATTTTCTGTTTCTAGCAGTACATCGCAGCAACAACAACAGCAGGAAGAAGGTAACGGTTGTTCATTGCCTCATCTGGAAATTGTTCTCTCCCTTTACTAATGCTTTTTTTAACGGTGTTACATTGTATAAATAGTGCTGGATTGAATATACCTGTTATGCTATGGCGACGGCGTTTCCCCATGATGGTTGCCCAAATCCAAGTGTACTTTGTTGACGTGTGACAGTTGATTTCGTGTATTGGTACAGTCAATCGCTTGAAGACCATGTATGCTTCTGTCAATTTCTCCCTTTCTCTCGTTGTACACTGCTTTTCTTGTACTTTTGCCAATTCTCCTGTAACCGGCATTTATTTATCACTACACCAAATATAGACATCAATTGTAGAACATGCGAAACTCCACACGACCATGCATGGACACTCATTATGTAAAATAGGTGTTGATCTTGAAAATGCTTGTGTAAGTTGCGGATCAAATACGCCGTGAGGTGCTACAGTAGCGTGTTTCTATGATATTATGGGTTGGTTATATGTAAACCAACAAATCAGTGATCATATTTTCCGTGCGAGTTCTTTGATGATTTAAGAGATCCATCAACATTTTGCTCGGATACAAAAGGCTCCCAAAACTATATGAGTCGCCCTTGATACTATGACTTGTATCTCGTTACATCAAAGCTACATATTTCGGCAAACAAGGACGGATTCAACATTAGATAACGCCCAAAAGAACGAAGCTACCATCTGCTGGATAATGGCTGAATGCCTCTAAGTCAGAATCCATGCTGAACACTCCCAAAGTCTGTTTGGAAAAAACTCATTGTTATGGCACACTTGTTGAAATGAAAATTTAGATACTGAGTGTGATTGACACACTATAAACTGTACACATGCTGTGATTGATTTGCCGTAAATTCTGGTGGTACGAGCGATGGCCAGTTATAGTTCCAGTACAGTAAAGAAAAAGCATGGTCATGAATTATCTGCCACTTGATATTGCCGGATGAAACTATTATCAGTAGCATACTTGGGTCTTTTAAGGAGAGCGTGCATCATCTACTGATAGTGATCCTTCTGCACTCAAAGTACTGGGATATCTGCCACAAGCGTACAAAGCGAGGCCCTGTGTAGAATTGATCGGGTCGATGTATGGCTTTTGTTGCTACCACATTCGGCGTCACCCGACTACCAAAAGCTGTACCGCTGTCCCGTACAGCCCGATGCCTGTTTCACTATTTCACTGTGAGGCAATTCCCGAGACTGCGTAATCACACTCCGCTCTTTTTACCGGGTTGGGAGACTGGGCGCTGTGTATTACATGATCGCAAATAAAAAAAATGTCAGCAACCGGAGAGAAAGGCGATTAGTCCCGCCGCCCTCGCTTTCCATAAAAGAAATTTTTACAAAGAAAAACAAATGCAGGAGGTGTGTACTGCACAATAGGAACAATGAATAAGAGTATGTGTGCAAGTTCAGCATATTACGAGAGACATCAGCGTTTGCAGTAATGGAGCGACATGTAGTTAAACTTTAAAAAAGCAACTTTTTGCCACGCTCTTTTGAGTATAATAGACTGGCTATGATATACAATCAGGAAGCAAAAAGATTATGTGCAACGGAGGGAAAACGCGCCAATCACAGAGCATCGGATTGCCACGTTGTCCTACGCGGGTCCTTGGGTTTGCTCGCTGGTCAGTACGCTCGGCCGCTGTAATATTACTGTGTTGGGTTAATAATGCGCATATCGAGGCATATTGTTGTAGTGGGGAGCTACAAGTAAGCATAATGCCTGCTAAAGTAAAAAAGCAGTGGAGAATTCCACGACATCCACGCTAGAATATTGCAGCAAAAGGAAAAATTCTTGCTTTCCTCAGGCACGTTTTCTGTTTAGTCCAAGAAAAAAGTTTTTTTTTTTATATTCCCATTTAGTTCAAAAGATCTCAAGGCAGCCGCCGTAGAAGATCAGGAAGGCGAAGAACTGGCACACGCGGGGTCCATGTTTGACTGTGATTGGCTTCGCTCAATCAAAGGCTTTTCAAGCTACCCACGCAGAGCCAATGAAACGTTACCCAGGCTACCTCACTCTACACCACTTGACACTCCTTTTCCAGTCCGCGTAAAAAAATGGAAGAGAAAGAAGGGAAACATGAAACGGCTATGATATAAAAGGGCAACGCTCGCTTTGTTCCTTATTTGTTTCTTTTTTTCTTCTCAACAAACCCTTCCTTCTCCCCTTTCTATTTTTTACCCAACAAGGGAAAATCAAATGGCGTCCTCGACCGCTGAACCCACCGCGCTGGAACAAGAGCGCATCGAGTCCGCACAAACCAACCTCAAGAGCCTTGAGAAGCTCGATGATGGTGGCGTCGGTACCGAGTTCAACTGGTTCACCGTCAGAACCATCCTCACTGCCGGTGCTGGTTTCTTCACCGATTCCTACGACATCTTCATCATCAATCTGGTCAGCCCTATGCTTGGCTATGTCTACTACCCGCACAACAACAACAAGATGCCCTCGGATATCGAAGGCGTGATTAAGGGCATGACATCCGTCGGCACTCTTTTTGGTCAGCTCTTCTTTGGCTTCCTTGGCGACATCTTGGGTCGCAAGATCTATGGTTTCGAGTTGTTGATCATCATCCTCGGTACCATCAACTGTGCGACCTCTGCATCTACCGTCCGTGGTGTTTCTGGTATTGCATTCCTCGGATTATGGCGTTTGGTTCTCGGCTTTGGTGTTGGAGGTAAACCATCTATTTCAAACGCATTGTCTTTCTCTCTATTTCTAGATACACTCTGTGCAAAACTTACAAACTAACTCACATGTGTACTTATGTCTACTAGGTGATTATCCCATGAGTGCTACTATCACGTCTGAGTGGAGTTCCACGGGTCGCCGTGGTATGATGATGGCACTTATTTTCTCTATGCAAGGCATTGGCAACCTCGCAGCCGCTATTGTCACCCTGATCATCCTCGCCATCTTCAAGGGCGCAGTCAACGCTGATGTGTTCAATCTCGACTACGTCTGGCGTTTGTGTATTGGTCTCGGCGCCGTTCCTGCTGTTGCCACCATCTACTTGCGTTTCACCATGCCTGAATCTCCCCGGTATGCCATGGATGTCGAGCATGACCTCGAAGCCGCCGCCGCCGCCAAGGGTCAACAAGTATCCGATGAACTCGCTCGCCAGCATACCAAGGTCGACATCAAGCAGCGCAGCCACTGGGCCGAATTCGCCGCCTACTTTGGCCAATGGAGGCACTTCAAGACCTTGCTCGGTACCTCGCTCTCTTGGTTCTTGCTTGACATTGCTTTTTACGGTTTGGGCTTAAACAACTCGTACATTCTCGAAGCAATTGGTTTCTCGAACAAGTCTACGCCTTTCGAGACGCTTTGGGCCAACACCGTCGGTCAGATCATCATCACCTGTCTTGGCTCTGTTCCTGGTTATTACTTGACTGTCATCTTCATCGAACGCTGGGGCCGTCGTCCTATTCAGATTATGGGCTTCACTGCATGTACCATCCTGTTTGCCATCCTTGCTGCGGCATACTACCCATTGCGTGACAATGCTATGCCCGCTTTCATCACTATCTTTACCCTTGCCCAGTTGTTCCAAAACTTTGGCGCCAACTGCACCACCTTTATCATTCCTGGTGAAGTCTTCCCTACCAAGGTGCGTGCATCTGCTCACGGTATTTCCGCCGCCTCTGGTAAGGCTGGTGCTATTCTGGCTTCATTTGCCTTCAACGTGCTTGTCGACTACGGAGGTGCTCCTGGTGAGCATGCTTTTTTGCCTGGAACCCTTGGTATCTTTGCAGGAATCATGTTCCTGGGTCTGATCGTCACCCTCCTCTGGATTCCCGAATCCAAGGGCCTGGATCTCTCTGTCTTTGAAGAAGATTACATTCCACCCACTGCTGCGGTTGTTCGCGACGACGATGCAGTATCCCGCGAGTCAGTTCCCGTAGAAAATGTTGCTGAGAAATCATCCTAATTACGCATTCTATCTATTTTTATTGTCATTCTATTCCTCATACTAAATCCTTCTAAAACCTATCAATGTATCTGTAATTATTCCCTACTTTATTGTTTTTTTTTTGTTTAATGTAAATATATTTTCTTTTTGCGCATATGCAATACTGCTATTTAAAAAAAAAAATTCTAAAATCGAGAGATGTACTATTTTTTATAACCTTTGAAAAAGCACCCTAATGCTAACAGTTTTTAAATGAACGTGTTACGTCATACCAAATGACATTGAAACTTTTTGGATCAGATACTGTATGTACCGCAAAGAAGTATCGTTCAATATCTTGAAAGGGCATGTTGTTTCATAGAACTTATATATCCATAGAGCAAAGTTGGCTGATTCGCTTAGCAGCCTGTCAACGGAAAGATACCTTGCAGGTATATACATTAACAGAGATACCCTATCATGATTCTACAGCAAACATATGCTACATAGGGTGTGCCGAGATCAAGCTTATACCTCCCCTCCAAATCTGTTATTGGTGGAGAAGCAAGTCCTGAAATGAAATGCAGTCTAGTAAGAGGGTAGTTGCATCCAAAAACAAAAGAGCAAAAGCATTTTCTGATTTTTTTGTGTGTGTTTTATCAAAATTGTACAAGTGGAGCTGCTCGAATGTAATATGTTTGATGGTGTGGAATAATAGAAAAGAAAGCGGAAAAAAGGAATCATAACGTTAAAAATAAACTAAGTGTGTACCTCTCGAAAGACTGAGTATCACAAAGAGGAAAGGAGGAGGAGTGCGAAGGAAAATAGTGTATGAATGGGAGAATGGTCAGTAGAAGGTTTGTTTTTTTTGATGGGAAGGACAAGATGTCAGGATAGATTAAAACACTAGTAAGACTACTTTTTTTATATTGGAAGCTTGCGAGGGTTGATGAACTTTAGGCTCTTGCCGACAACCAGTGGACCGGCGATCAATGCTACGAATAATATAAACATGCCCGTAAATAATATGCCATAGGTGATAGCAATCCGTCTGCGTTTTCTACGCTGTCGTGAGGTCCAGATAGGCGGTCGGATTTGCTTGCTAGGTCGTAACCAAAACAGCATCAATGAGTGCGCTGTGTTGACATAGGGGATCAGGCAAAAGATAGACAGCGTGAACAGGATCAAGTGGCCCAGAACAAAGTCTGCTGCGAATTCGCTCATTTCAACGATCTTGCATAGATACTCACGCAGTGGCTGTGAGATGGCATGCCAGCCCAACTAAAAACAGCATTGAAAATTATGAGTCTTTCTGCTTCTGCATATGAAGGTCATGATGATCATTTCAAGCACATTATATAAGTAAATTAGACTACTTACACCACGACCGTACCACTTGCCGGTCCACCAGCCTCGATTGGATTCATCGTGCTTGAATTCTCTGGTGAGGAAGAGCACCGTCAGCACGCGCAGCACAAAGCGTTGCAGAGCTATCATGGCCACAGCACCCAGGATAATGTTCGTAACCTTCCACTCTTCCAGTAGCATCAGTGCCTCAAACAGCAAAATCAAGTTGAACACAGCCCATGCATGTGCAGTAGCGGCAATGACTGATCCAAACTTGTGGCAGCACAGACTGAGCACCGATCCCAAGAATAGCGACACAAAAAAGAAGATGGCCAGTGCACCCGCGTTCAGCAATATTGGAGCCAAGGAGATAATACCGATTCGCAATAGACCGCTCTGTCCCTTGTTGGGCTGGGAGCTGTCCTCCGGGTCGAAACTCTTGACGAATACATACGGGATCAGACACAGGATAGCATAAAGGAGTGGTAGCACGACCTCCGAAAAGAATATGGTGCCTAACCGAGCTCGTGGAATATCGCCCACCAAAGTATTGTCAGCCTTGCCATCCTTGGTTTTCTTTTGCCGGCGCTTGTATCCGGTAATGCGCGATCGTGATTCGCGACAGTGCTTTATCCATGAGTTTCTGTGCGTCTTTGAGTTGCCTCGGGACATCCAGCGCATAAACTCGCGATAATCTACCAGAAATTCGACAAGCGCGAACTGGTTTGGATTGAAGATGAAAGGGGATATGATCAATGCCACGACGGTGAACCAGAAATACACAAGGTGCGGAATCCACATGGACAACGAAGCAAACATCATGATGAGGAAACACCGGGAACCAGCATAGATACTTGAGCTGCTAAATCTTGAGAACAGCAATGAAAATGGTACACGCGATGTTGCAAAGCCTCGGCCAGTAGCAATGTATTGTGCGCCACCGTAGATAAGGTTCTCGATGACAGAGTTCATGTAGATCTGTGTCACAAAAATCTCAAAGAACGGCGACAGTGACATGAAATGACGGCCCAGCCGAGTGATACTTCGCCAGAACCCACGTTCGGTCAATTCTTGCAAGAACAGCGGCAAAAAGGACACAAAGAAGACGACAAAGATGGACAGGATACAGCGCTTCACCCACTCGAAGATGGGTACCAGGTTGTAGCATCCTTCGGGTGTCAAAGGCGCATCAGGTGGGGCATCGGCATTGTACTCACAGATCGACAAGCTGGCACCCATGGCTCCAATAAACAGCAGGACAAGCATAAACATTTGCACAGACAGCATAATAAAAATATTGTTGATATGGAAACCCGGGTGTGCATAGTAGAAAGTCAGGAACCGATCCAGCGGGAGCTGCGTGCCAATGTAGTAGTACTCGCGTGACAGCATCTGCTCACCCATGCCAGTGCCAATCTTGGTCGTAAAGTTGAGAATAGATCCAAAGCCGAGATCACGACCCTTGCCACATTGAAAGTATTCCGTGTGCTTGATGCGGCCACCGCGTGTGAATGCGTTCATGCCAGCGTAGATATCCTCATTAAGATGCAATCCCTTTTGTGCCTTGCTGACACCACCGCGTGTCGTCATAAAGATAGCGTTCAGAAAATCTGGATGCCCATAATGAAGCTTGCCGCCAATCTTGGCCATGATGCGCTGGGTCAAGGTACCAAACGTTTGCTCCTTGCCAGCCGCTACGTCTCCGAGGACACCAATGTTCTCGGAGAAAATGTACTCGCGCGCACCGACAATGGCTACTGGCGCACCTGGCTTTTCCTTCCATGACGGGGAGTAAGGAGACACCTCGGAGGGGCCCAGGTTCTCAAATTCGCCAAGGATGTTACGGATCTTGAGACACTCCTCCAAGTAGTTGTCCTGGTTGGCATCAATAAGCTGCAAGAACTCACCGCGGTAAAAGACCAAGGCATGGTTTTGGTTGTCAGACTTGCCGTCACCCAGGATAGGCGAGCCAGGCAAACGGATGCGATACTTGGGCTTGCGCTTGCCACTGTCCGCCATCTCGCAATTGCCGTCAATGAGCGCCGAGTAATACGTCGTTTTACCTTCGTCATTGACTTCTTCCTCGACATAGGCTACCTGAAGGTTCGGGTACGCCTTGAACAGAAACTCGGCATCCTCGGATTCCTGGGTATTAAACTTGGCATAGCGTTGCATGGCTACAAGGAAACGGAACTTGCGGTGTGACAGCTGATCCAGATCACGCTCCAATTTATCTCCACTGTCCTGGTACGTGTGAACCGTGTCTGGGTTCTCGACGCGATAAAGAAGCTTAATGGCCTTTCGATAGTTCATGAAGCCAGAGACGGTGCGATACAAGGTCTGAGCACGCAGCGAGGCCCATATCCGTGTACGCAAGGTATACTCTGGTTTGGCAGATTTGAACCCGATACAGTAAAACGGCAGGTCATCCACCTTGCTCTTTTCGGTGTCTTTTTCGGTCATGTCCGACAGCATGGATGTACTGCGATCGTTCTCGCTGCAGTTGGACTCGTCGACCATGATCTTGGTGTCCTTGACAAAGTTTTCCCATTCGACTGGATGCAGCTGCTTTAAATACTCGAGCAAGGTGACACGTGTGTTCTGATCTTCCTCGCGAATAATTTCACGCAGAGACAACAAGATCTTTTCACCATAGTGCGGCTACATGATAGAATCTTTGTGTTAGGAGGTTTTATGTTTTTATGCCACAGAATCTAAAAGTGACTTACCGTAAGCACAGTGAAAGAAGGCATGCATTCGACAGGACGTGGCTGAGGCATGGGCGTAGTTAAGCTCTGCGCAAAGAAATGGATGCGTCGTTCGGCTTCGCTGTGTTGTGGATAGTACTCGGTCTTGAATGCAGTATCTTCTTGCGATACAAAAAATGTTGGGGGCTTGAGCGTCCTGCGACCATCCTCGGGATTCGTTTCCTACAATTAACCGAAAATAACATAGCAACATGTTAGAAAACGTGGAGGAAACGACTCGTTGTGGCATATAAATAGATATATAATGTACCTGCTGATAAAGCATGCGCTGTACGTGATCCACAGTGATAAGATGCTCGCGGTACATGGTTATCACGATAGCGTTCCATATCTGTGAGCAGAGCACCTTGGGCTTGTACTTGATCTGTATATCGGATGTAGCCAGCAGCTTGACAAAGATGCGCTTGGGCATCCGAGAGAAAATGTTCCGCCAGGGCGACCAGATCGAGATGCCAAGATAGAACGAGCGGGCAACCGAAAAGATAGTGTTCCAGATAATGTACCACAGATACGTATCCAAAAAGTAGAGCAGCAGATCCATGAAAAACATGAGCGCGAGCGTCAGATCAGGCATTGCATGGCACAGCCGGACCCCGATGATTTTGTCGCTGCAATTTTCAATATGCATGCGGCTCATGACCTTGAGCGGATCCTTGAACGAGAGCGCCAAGAAGAAATAAGATTCGAGCAGCTTGCAGGTAAACACGCAGATCCACAGGGCGATTGACATGATTCGGTCAATGCGCTTGAGCGGCGGGAAGTTTGCAGTGAAACGACTGGTCGCCAGCATCGTTCGGGAATTATCCCTGCGACGTACAAACAGGCGGGCCGTGGGTGTGATTGCTAGAAACAGTGTGGTGGCTACGCTGATCAAGAGCTGAATGATCGCTACTAGTTTGGATATGCCACTGCGTCGATCGATAAACACGCAGTATACGGTCGGGCCAGCATTGATGATGAATAGCACAAACAGCAGAGCTATCCTCCGCGTAATAATTTTTGTCGTCGACCAGGTGAACGGCAAGTACGAATATTCTGAAAACGACCCGACAAGCATGAGAAACACGGCAATTGCACCACCGAGCGCAACGATCGACCATTGCACCGAGGCTTCCTGTTCGGCTATCTCCTTGTCTTCGTTGAGGTATAGTGCAGGGGCGTTGGCACTCACATAGTACCAGAAAGAGACAATGTGAATGATCCACACACGCGAAAAGTTGATTGAGGCATGCATCCAGGTGCGCTTCTCTTTGTATGTTTTACGCAACGTCTGCTTCCAGTCGACTTGCTTGAGCGCTGGGTAGCGTTCGTGCGGTGGCAAGCTGTGTAGCGTTGTCTTTTTGTCGGCAAGTAGGGTTCGTGTCAAGCATGTCGGGTACCAAAAGAACTGATTGACATCGTCATATCCGATAATCTTGTCGTGATCTTTTTCGCGCTTGACGAGTCGACCATTGATGTTTTCGTAAATTTCGTCGCGGAAAAAGTTGTACAGCGGCGTGATAACGTTGTCCAAAAAGTCGCCTTCTTCTACGTCAGGAATAGCGGAGTTGTTGTTGTTGTTATTGTCATCATTCTCTGAAGAAGCAGTGGCGGCGGCATAATAGTCGCTGGCTAGTTTGTACAAAAAGCAGAGTGTTTCGGGTGTATAACGCACGACTGCGCTTTCACCCCAAATCAGCAAGTACAAAGCCAGATCGCGTATTTTTTCTTCGTTGGTCAGAGAGCGCATGCGTATCTTCCATCGTTCTTCGGCATTCTCCAGACGTTTGGTATCGTCTTCTTCTTCATCGTCGTGCTGTTGATTTTCGTTCTTGGCGTCGTCGTCCATGAGATCCATTTGGGCAGCAAAATACCAGCGACGGTAGTTGGCACCTTCACCACCAATATAGTCAGCATGCAAGGTGTCGAGCGCTTGCTGAGGCTTCATGCGCGATGCGCGCGAGTCAAGCATAATCATGAGGTGATCTAGCATGTTGCGCACGCTGTCGGTTTGAAAGCCAAACTTTTTGGCAATGGCGTGAAACTGGGCCTCGACCTCGGCAAAGGTAGCAGGTAGTGTATCCTCGGGACCCCACGACGCGTACGGAGTGCTGTCGCTGTAACCAAGCAAGGTATTCTTTGGCAGCACTTGGCTACTTGACGGGTCTTGCATGGATGCATTGCTATCGGTGACGAGCTTGTTCTTGAAACGCTTGCTTTCTAATAGAGCCAACATTGAGTCTGCCGAAGTTGCATAGCGCGTATATCGGCCTTCGTCGCCGGATGTCAGATGGCCAAGAACGTCGATGGTATATGCGTCGTTGCTGTTATTGTTGGCAGGGATGGTGGGTGCGGAGGGCGGAGCATTTCGATCCGTATTATACTCGTAATCATCTTCAATTTGGCTGTTGGCTCGACGACGCCTGTCGATCCGTCGTCTCGGAGCTCCTTTATTTTGTGCGTGTCGGTAGTTGGTTATATTGATATCGTTAATCAGTTTGGGTTGTTTTTACATTCCGGATCCACTTGTTGTAACAACGTGTGTTCTGTGCAATTATATATGCGATGCAACGGAGACTTACCCTGTGCCAACGGGGACGATGGAATAGGTGACGGGGAAGCAGCAGATGAACGCGGGCGCGACATGCTAGAACGATTTATATATATATATGTGTGTGAGTCTGGAGATTGTTGATGCTGCTTCTGTATCAGTGTGGACTATGTTGGAGGAAGTGGAGGAGGAGAGCTACAGAAATATTTTTTTTCATTGACATACTTTGCATAATAGGCTCTGATTTCTGGAAAATCGCCTTTAGGCTGTGGTTGTTGTTGTTGCTGGTGCTGTGAATGAGCATCCTCTTCACTAATTACATTTTGCTGTACATCGTATAGGGTCGAGCGACGTGATCGTGCTGTATCATGACTACTGCGTGGTCGCTCGGATTGGCTCGTTCGACTGACAGGCTCTAATATGGATGGTTCCGCCTCTGGTTGTAACGATGACGACGACGATTGACGTGGTGTCTGTTGTTGTTGTTGTCGTCTATTATTGTTCGACATGTGTTGTATGTGTGTAGATGATCGCGCTGTTGTGGGAGACGAAACTGAATTCGTAGAAAGAGGGGGATGATGGGTCTGTCGTCTCTCTCTCCCTTGTGTTGCTAATGTCCTTTCTTTTTCTTATCTCTTATTTGGTATGTATGAAAAAAGCAAGAGAGAGAGAGAGGGGATGATGTTGTTGTTAGCGAATACGTTGGGGATTAATTTCAGCAAGACGAAGAGAGAAGAAAGTGATGCGGCAATTATTCGTTCGGCAGGTGAAGGTCCCCGCTGTTTGCTGCGATTAGAGAACAAATTCAGGCGTGCCGGGAAAAAGAAATCTTTGGTTGCATTTAAAAGATACGATAGTATCCACAAGAAAATATGGATTGCTATCGTTGAAGACACGTTGCGTACCATACATGGTCTGTATCGTACCCTCAACGATAGTATTTCCAGTGATAGAGTAGTCATAATGAATCTGTCTTTCTGGCTGCATGCGACTTGGATTACAACGGTTAGCATATTTCAAAGGGCTGAGATCATACCATTGTCTTTGCCATCCATCGATGGTATTGTTTGCTAGTAAGTATGAAACGACAAAGAAAGAAAGAAAAAAGAACCGAGTAGATATAATATATGCTACTCTTCCTTCTCATCTCTCCATCGTAAATCATGACTTTTGTTCTTTTCTAACCGCTGCATGTGTGCAGCATTGAAGCAGGAAATTAAGGGAAGGGGTTTGATGTGAGAGATTGATTTCTCGCGATTATTGTTCCTCCTCCCTCTCTCTCTCATAATATCTTATGCACAGCTAACCCATTGTAGGTACACTCTGTATGATTTATTATAACCAAAGTAGTGTGTATGACACGTATTGCAATAAAAGGTCTTAATATGTATACTGTAGATACTCTGACAACTGTTGTCTTCCGTCGCATTGATGATGACGAAATTCGAGCTAGGGGTGCTAATATTCCAAGGTTGACGAGTGCGTAGCAAAAAAAAGCTAAAACTGTTAGGCGCAATATCCATCATGTAGTATGATAATACGCCCAGGTGAGCACATGCTGCAGGCGAGACATCTGCGTACTGGGTGTATGCATAAAGCTGACAAGGAATCTGCATGTCGATGTGCATTCGTTGCGGCAGAAAATAAAAGAGAGAGGAAGGCGATGATCCGCCAGAGGCTTTGTTTATGTGTTTCAGCTTTCTCTTCACTGCACAAGCCCCGATGGAAGGCGAAGGTTCTATTTTTTATGTTACTGGTCCCTTTTCCTTTGGGGGAGGGGGGAGGGGAGGGGTTGTGGACGCATGGGAGCATGGGAGAGAAGGTGATGAATAGGATTATGGGGGGATATGGAGAGAGGAAGAGATGGGCCCTTCTTTCTCTCACAGTACATGGTGATCGGCCGCTTAGGACATAAAACAAGTCTCGCCTGGTCTTTGCCATGTGAAGATTGGAAGCTACCACTGGTGGTGGGTAACAGAAAGAGTTAGAGAAGACAGCAGCAGCAGCAGCAGCAGCAGCAGCAGCAGCAGCACATACGTGTTGGTAAGTGAGCTTACCAGATTACAATGAAGCACCTGACTCGCAAAGAAAAAACCCCCTTGCATCGATTTTCGTGACGCCGTTACATAAAAGAAGCGAGCTCTGTACGATACGCGAGTAGCCCATTTTCTCTCTTCTTTCTCTATTGACTTGGATTTTTTTTTTGCTTCTTCTTCTTTTCCTCTTTGTATTTTCATAATATGGCCACGCAGCACCACCACCACCACCATCAACACCCTGCCACATTACTGCCACCCGCTAACAGCAATAACAACAATAGCAGCAGCGTGTGGCACATACCGCCGCCGTCTTCATTCCAACCAGTAAATGGACAACAGCAATACAACGTGCCCCCTTGGAGCCAGACGTCGTCCTTACTGGCTACACCGTGCGATACCACTGCAGCAGCTGCCGCTTCGGTTGCTCCGGACGATGCTTCCGTTGTCAGTAACAGTACCACAACCAACACTGCTACCACATCGACAACAGCAACAAGCACAGGAGGAGGCCGTCGTAACAATAGCAGCAGAAGCAGCACCAGTAGCAGCAGCACCAGTAGTACCAACACGTCTGCAACATCGGTGACCAGTCGGAAAGGTAGCCGGACAAAGCCGTCCACCGTAGACGAGCTGGAACAACCGACGAACGGCAAGCCTCCGTACTCTTACGCGACGCTGATTCGCTACGCGATCCAGAACAGTCCGTCCAGGAAACTGACGCTAAGCCAAATATACCAGTGGGTAATGGAACGTTATCCTTACTACAGCACTGCCGGCACCGGATGGAAGGTAAATCATTATCACGATCATCCTCATTGGATCATGCACCCACGCAACAGCAGTTATTGCCCTGGCATTAGAGTACGATAGTAACAACAAAAACATCACTTGTCCTTTTTTTTGTGTTCCTAATTTTAGAATTCGATACGCCACAACTTGTCGCTCAACAAGAGTTTCGTGAGGGTGCCCCGACCGGTCAATGAGCCAGGGAAGGGATCGTATTGGATGGTTGATTATTCTGCCGCGGAGAACGAAGGCTCTGGCAATGGCGGCGGCGGTAAGGCCAACAAGACCCGATCATCCTTTGATCACCATTTGCCTTACAGCACTGCTGCCGGAAACGGTCGATACGCTACTACCAATACTGCCGCTGCTGCTGCCGCTGCCGCAGCCGCAGCCGCCGCCGCTGCACGGTCCGGCTCAACTGATATGGATCCATCTACCTTGTTGCTGTATCGGAATTACAATCAGCAGCACCAGCAGCAGCAGCAGCAGATGGGCTATCCTCACCACAACCAGCACCAGCACCACCAGCATCAGCATCATCAGCATCAGCAAAATCAACCGTATTACTATCGATCGAGCGCTTATCAAAGAAGCTACAGCTATCCAGAAATTCCCAAATACCAGCAACTACCTTTTGATTTGATGTATCAGCAACAACAGCATGACCTTTCATCTGCAACAGCTACCACTACCACTACTACGGCCCATCATCATCATCATCCTCATCCTGTCTATACCCAACACCACCATCATGCATTACAACAATTTCATAGCCAGCATCCTCACCGCCACCATCAGCATTCGACAACAACAACAACAACAACAGCAGCAGCAGCAGCAGCAACAGCAACGAGCCCTTTGAATCACATGCCTTCAAACGATCTGGACTACAACGCGCCATCGTCATCCACTCCCTCTCTTGTCACAAGTCCCCATCTTTCAAGTCCAGAACGTGACAACTTCGGATCACCGCAACCAGAGCAATGTGAGCAACAGGCGTACGATACAACAGCGGTAGCAGCTACCAGTAACACCTCGTCTACAACTTCTTCTATTGTCAGTGCTGATCACCATCAGCATGAAGCTGGAACAACGGCAGCATTACCACGCCATACATCATTTGCTCGTTGTACTTGAAATAATCGCCTTTATCTCTTCCCATGTATATCATCATCATGTTCAATTCTCCATTTTCTTGCGTATATTTCTATTTCTTTTCTCCAGATGAACGCAGAAGCTTATGATGTTGTACTTTTTTCCGTTGTTGTAACTTCATACACACCCGTTCACTATGTAAACACTGGCTCCCCTGCTACTATTACTACTATTACTACTACCCATCCCACTCCTGCTCTCACAGCACAAAAAATGTATCCAATTTTCCCCCGTCTTCTGTTGCTACTATACATTTTCATTATAAGTATATATTTTTCATGGCACGACAATGATATCAGGAATAAATAAATAGCTTCTTTTCCTCTCTCTCTTATCATGCATCCCATTCGACCACAGCACCAGTCTTTTTTGCCCACTCCTGAACCAAGCAGACGAAGCCCCATCCTTCGGCTGAATCGCGCTTGTCAAACAGGTCAAGTGAATGGTTTCCTCGTCTGTTGGGCAATGAGAGTAGGTCGTCCGTGGTAACAATGATAACTTTACAGCTAATAATAGCAATTCACCGCGTTGGTAATCTGATAATAAGAGCAGCAGTGTGGGACGAGGTTGATCTATGGGAGAGAAGAAACCCCTTACCGAGCACGCGATACCGTCACGTTCCACCGCTTAAAATCCAGTAAGAAATCCACCTTTGTAGGCGTGATCTCATCAAAGGCAAAACAAGCGATAACGAGTTCGCACTCCTGTCCTTGCATCTTTTCCACCGTGTTCACCATCACTTTCTCCCGGAGGGTAGGGCCATCACCACGAAGCGAAACTTGGTGCTCCACTGCCACGCGTTGCCGATGATGTGGTGTCACCACCATCACTTTTGCATCGTCATTGTTATTGTCACTATGAGGAACACGTGCTGCCAGGTGCATTTCCACAAGGTCGGCTACAATACTAGCCTCAGCCTGTATTCCTTTATCGCTATTATCGCCGTCCTCGTTGTTGTTGTTGTTGGCAGGAAGCTTGACATTAATAACAGTTATGGCTTTGCGAGGATCCAATGCAGCACGAATAGTGTGCAACCGTTCATGACAACTCGGCGCAACGATGCGTGTCCAATCATGTTTAAGGCATAGGTCAGGATAATGGGACGCAAGGTCGTTTCCGTAGATTTGTTTGAAGAATGCGTTTAGCTCGTCATTCTATCTTCTTGTTAGAAATAAATACACATATCTCTCTGCTCTCTCACGCGCTAGAACAGTTTTCTATTGATACGTTACGAAACACGTACCATGCGCCAATTATCTTTGAGCTGGATGGTGTTTGGACCAAAGTCGTGCCTTGCCCCTTTCTGTAGCAAGAATACTTGGGGCGGGATGGATTCGTTGGATTCAGTGCGCATCAGACATTGTTGGATCGATCCATACAACAACGGCTCATCCAAAGGAAGCTTGGGATACGTGTTTTGAAGAATCGGCCCCAATTGCTAGAGCAAACCAATAGATTATACATTGCCCGTCGTTTTACCCATAAGTATTGTATATTTAACCAAAATGGGCTTAAGCTTATTGCTGTTGTGTGTACCATGTGATCTCCGGCGATAATCAGTCGTCCCTCTTTAGCAAGGCAATTGATGACAATCGCGGCATCCGCGACCAGTAGCTTTTTTTGTTAGTCCGTGCTCTCATAGTTAGTAACGTTTTTTGCTCCTTTTGATGGATCCAAACAACAGCCCAAACAACAGAAAGAACCCTGCTTTTGCTTCTTGGATAGCCATGTACCTGAGAGCTTTCATCGATGATGATCATATCACACGCAACAAGCTTACTGCTCTTGGCTTTCTTCTTTTTTTGGACCTTGTACCAATCCCAAACAGTGCCACCTACAACCACAGCCCCTTTCTGCGGCAGATGTTTGCCAAGCTGATCAGCCTTGCAATGGACCACGTCGCTTGCTGATGGACTATCTGACGACGACGATGACGACGACGACGACGAGGTGGATTCCATGGCAACAATTGTGAAGGACTTGCTGTCAGCTTCTGTGCGATGACGCGTCTGAACGTCGGCTATTCGCTTCAACAAGTTTGTTATTGCATGTCGCGTAAACGCAGTGACACCGATGATAAAAGGCTTTCCATTCTGGTGCTCATGCAGATGGGTGATGTACCAGTTGATAAACAAGGCCAGGAACTCGGTTTTACCTGATCCCTAATAATAGTAACAGGAAAACAAAAATGTCAGTTGGTTGCCACTGTAGCTTAGCTGCTGATAAAAAGAAATATACCGGTGGACCCCAGACAATCTGCAGGCGTTTCTCAAGGATATTAGCAGAGATGTCTTTTTGTGAAGGCGACATGCGAAAGTTATCTCTCAGTCTGAGGGCTGTTGCCCGTGCTTCGGAAGCATCCGCATTATTATCTTTTGCTTCCTTCCCAACCTTTGATCCCTGCGGATGCTGCCTCCCTTCAGCCCAAGCATTCGGATCTCGTATTATGTGCTTATTATGCCAAGAGAAACAAACGGTTAGCTCATCCAAAGTTATACAATGATGGTATCCACGTCGGTTATTCAAGTTGCAATGGATGGTTTCTCCTCCTACTTACTTCAAAAGGGCCAGATCCATTGTCTATATCAATGTGCGACAACGTCTCCAATATTTTATCCGTGTTGAAATCAATGAACCGTCGATAGAGTCGGTAGCATCTGCCTTTAGTGAGACCAAGATCTTTAAAGTAGCCAGTCAGTGCCACACTGAATCCATTCTCGGATACGCGGTCCACATTGGCTGTCGTAGTCCCATAGATGTCACGAAGCTTTCTGCGGTGCATAAGATCCGGAAACCGAATCGCTTCTAGTATTCCCTACTCGACAGTTTTACAATATGGGCGATTGAGTCTTCTTCTGTCGTATACTTTTCTGTCTCCTCGTTCTATATTACCTCACGCGTATCGTTGACGAGGATGTATTCCTTGAGACTATTCCGTACTAGACTGTCGATTTGTATCCTTGCTGCTGTGGATGTCGTAAACCGATCAGGAATAAATTCGAACCACGCAAGAAATGTGTCTTTCTTTCCGCTTTGGTTTGGGATCTTTTCCCAACGTCGAAAGGACATCCGCAAACTGCTTTTCCCGTTTGGTGACATAAGATCCCCGAGTCGGTCAGCGCGCATGGTATCGCATCCTGCCACGCATTCGAGCTTTTTAAAGAATGCCAAGCGGCCAATCAGAGGTGATCGAAATTTTTGTGCAGAAGGCCACCGGAACGGCGCATTATCCAGACAGTATATGTTGATCATGGTGTTTTCCTTGTATGCGGTTGCAAGCTTGCGGTATTGGAGTAGTATTTCCTGTAGTTGCTGTATATGTGTAGTAAGGTCTTGTGCTATACTGTCTTGTTTGAGCCAGCGGCCGTATAGAGCTGCTTCATCGAGCAAGAGAGTATCATCATCAACACCATCCGCTTTATTGTCGGGGCTGTTGCTATTAGCCCTAGCACACATCCAATGGAACATGTCAGCAAACGTATAAAAGCCTGGAACGCCAAGAGCGATGTTTTCTTGCACGAGCCGTTCCAGAGATACTAGCCGTGGGACTGTCACTTTTTCAAACTCTGTTGGGAACGCATCGACACCGGGTATCGTCAAAAGTTGTGTGTCCTGAAAGACTACGAGAAGACAGTCCATTGCTTTTTGTCGTATAGTATTCGCTTTTTCGTCGTCAGCGCCGTCATCTTCTTTTTTGCGTGTGGCGATCTCTAGCAAAGTCTCGCAAAGCTGATGTTTAGCCTGACTGTTGGAGACGAAAAGCGTACAGCATGACTTGTTGTCTTCCATAAAACATAGGATGCTGACTAGGTCGGTAGCCAAAGATACAGCAAGTTCTCTGTAGTGTGGCAACGAGCGGCCTTCATAAGTAACGGACCCATCGTAGTCTAGCCCTTTCAGTTCAGCTCCAGCTGGGGTATAGACTCGTATCGAATATGCGCATATACTACGATACATGGGATCATACGCAAAAGAGACGAAAATATCGTGATCATTTTTCTCACCCAGCGATACAGTGGGATTGCCACGAAACTGTAATATGAATAATGATTAAGTATCCCCTTTTGCTCATTCCAGCAGTATGCGCCGCCCTTCCCTCTTTTAATTTACCTGAGGCTTTTGTGTTTTATATGCGTCGATGTATGGCAAGAAATCCGAGCTCAACATCCAATCTGGTACTGGTGTACGGGGATCCTTGATTCGGATGTTCTTGAGCTGGCTGGTTAAATCTTCGATGTCCTCAATATTGCTTGTCGCTGTACCCGTGGTTAGATTATGTACCCGGTCGGCCAATTCGCCTATACTGTCAGTGGTGCTGCTTAATCCAGGCACTGCCGCAGAAGCTTCCATGCTTTGGTTTCTTCGTAATGCTTTGACTTTTTGATCGGTCATGTATGCAACAGCACCTGGTGTTCCGTAAGTCTGATTACGACACACGTCCGTAAATTCGCAAGTCTTGCATTTTGCGTTGTAGAGCCATGGTGGATGATCTGTTGAGATGATAGCTGGTAGCCCGACAGTATAAAAGAACTTCATCTTTGGCATCATGAGATCAATTCTAAAAGTTTCAGGCTCTGTTGGATTGGATGGCAGCCACACACCACCCACAGGGTCAATCTCGAGGTTGCGGATATCCCTGATAAGATATTCAAGGAGGAATGCATACGATGCGACTTGAAACTATGTTTTTGCACGTTGTATCAGCTTTCGCACTAATATCGAGCTCTTTACAAAATGGAATGAAAACAACAAGTGCTCGCATAAATACCTGATGATGTGAACTCACGGACCGACTCGATTTGGCATCAATGACGAAAATGGTTCTGGCTTTGGATGAGGGGTCTTCTTTGATCCACAGGAAATCCGGTACGAACCGCTGGAGGCGATAGTTGCTATCCTGCGCATAAAAGCCATCGGGCATCGTGAAACTCAGCTGATACAAAATCTGGCCGACCTTGGCTTCATGAAGAATCTGTTTGCTTTTAGCTGTAGGCGTGTGTGTGTGGTCCACCGCTCTCGAGCCCAGTAGTTGCATAAGCACTTCCTCAAACGTGTTGCCGCGTTGAAAGTGAGCTTGTGTGACAGCGTCTGCTGCTGGCAAAGCTTTATAGGCGTTTTCGCCGTTGTTGTTGTCCTTGCTGCTTTTTTTGACCGGTGGTGCTGTTGTCAAGGTCGTTAGCTTGACGTGTTTCTCGCAATGATAGTGAAAGCTTTGAGCCAATCTCGACACTGAAAAGCGCGGATATTGTCTTTGAATCTGTAAGTCTGGTGTGGAATCGCTGTCGAAGCGGTTCTTGGCGATTTCGGCGGTCATTGTCAATTTCGAAACGAGTAGAGTTAAGAAAAGAAAGTAAAAGTGAGTGGTATCACAAGAAGATGCACAAATTCGGAACTGAAGGCAACCTCCGGTCCCGATACAGGGTTGGTGGTGGGAACTACAGAGGATATAGGCTTAAATACTATATGTGTTATGGGTTTCGATAGATAGAGAAAAAAATACTTTGTGCCATGCTGCTACATAAAAAAAAACTATACGTACTCTTGAGCTCTTAGAAGAGACATAGTTGCTATTACAGCGTCTCATCTAATGAATAAGGCTTTACGACTCGGTTACTGTAACTTACAGAAAAGGCCGCTCAAACACCATATCATCAGCAAACAAGTGCTTCCCCCGCTTCCACACTGATTAACCAAGACTTTGGTGGTGAGGCCGCGCCTAGTCGAAGAAGCCTGGCAACGACTCTGTGCAGAATATCCAGCGTTGCTGAGCAATAGTCAGTCCCACATGGAGAGCATCGGTTGGACCGAAAACATGTTTATGCCTATTGGCGATAGTTCTCCTGCTGCACGTCTGTGCACGGATCGAGTTCGCCGACGATCGTTTGTTCTGGCTACTATTCCCGTGATTTTCCAAGTGGTGAAGGCGTGCTATTGTACAGCAACCGCAAAGTATTGTCACTAAAGGAGCACGTTAAGATGATGCGCCTCTACTCGCGCGATCGTCGCTTTGGGGAATCGGCATTTTTCAACTTCATTTTTGTGTGGCCGACATGCTCGAAAGGGATCTCAATTGCGGCATACAGCCATCGCATCGTCCATCGAGTTTCCGCAAACCAGCTGCGTGCCGCGAAACAGGAGAAACCCCCGTCCGCGAAGTTCAGTGGCCTGGGTGCACTTCAACTATCTTTGACAGCAACCTGCTACGAGTTCTCATAGGAATTCAAAAATACCGCCGCCAGTGACGAACAAACCAATTTACCGCCATTAAGCCCTACCTCGCCTGAAACCTCACGTCTTTTGCGTGGCACCGACCAAGCATCTCTTCATTCCCGACAGAACATCCGTATCTACAGCAACGCTCTCAGCTTCACAACTCTTGGAGTAGATATGGATCACACAAAGACAAAATCCTGCGGAGAGCTTACAATTTTCGCATCCATGGACGTGTGTGTCATCGGATCGGCTGAATTCTTCCGGACGAAAATGCAGCACGGCTTGCGTTTGCACAAATTTACATGCATGATCCTTCCCACCGCATGCACGCAAATTTCCCTGCTAAAAATTGCCCGCTAAACACCCACACTGTATCTCACGTTCATGATTTCCATGGTAGTAACGCACGAGGAACAATCATACATTGGTTCAGACGGCACTCTAATTGCAATTAATTACGATGTGTTTATACATAGAAGGATGAAACGTCACGTGAAAATCTCGGCCATGCGTTCTTTAAGTATTCAGAGATTACCACGCTAGTAGAAGAAGAACTGGTATCGGGAATGAATGGGCAAAAGAAGAGTACGGATGTCCTGCGTGTCCTCCACCAAGAGATCATTATTTAAGAAGTATTGTATGTTATTAGATAAAACTGATAAGCATTACATTTGTCGGCTATAATCGAAAGTTTATCGCAATCGATGGCAAAATATGCAGCTATGGTGCGTTCGCCTTATAACCGTCAAAACTTTATTTCGTTTCAATTTGATTCTTAAGCATTAAACCTACAAAATGTATTTCAAAGAACAAAGATATGTATATATGGTGAAACATAAAAATGTATAGGAATAGCAATAGAAAAAACGGCGTATAACCTGAAACTGGGCAGTGATTCTTCTGTCAGGCCCACGCGTCCTTCTTTGGATGGCCTTCTGGTGCTTTCGTCTTAATGGCGGCATCTTTTAAATGAAAGGTTAAAAGAATAGACGTGTATGTAGGACGTAGGCGATAGGCGAGTATATATACGTATAGGAGTTGTTTACTCATGCTTGTTTCAGGTACGTGATTTGTTTCAAACTTCTGCCGGCCCAGCTAAATTGGGAAAAACCGGTAACTTTTGGCTTCCCATAATTTTTTTATTCTTCAATAACGAAAGCAAACGAGTAAAAACGTATTTTGAAGCACGTTAGACTGTATAATTGCTTTTTGGCGACGTTATAACAGAGTAAAGCTGAGGTAAAAAATTGACGGTTATAAGGCGAACGCACCATAAAACGTTATAAAGCAAATGAGCACGACCAAGAAAAATGTCAAGAAACGGTATTTTTCTGCTGACGAGCATCAAACCAAGTATGACAATCATAATATGCGTGAAGGAGTTAGTGATGGGTATTACTAGGGACACTCCAAAAAAATGACTCGACACTCCATTTTTCCTCAAATAAACCAAATAGTTACACAAAAATAAACAGATGCTCTATAAATATACTAACAAAGGACTATTAAAGGAAGAGGAGTATTTGGAGTGTTGCAATCGCCACGATGGCGTTGTAGGCGTTTGGAGTGTTTGGAGTGGTTGGAGTGTTTTTTGGAGTGTTTGGAGTGTCTGGAGTGTTTAAAGTGTTGCAATCGCCATGATGGCGTTGTAGGCGTTTGGAGTGTCTGGAATGTTTAAAGTGTTGCAATCGCCACGATGGCGTTGTAGGCGTTTGGAGTGTTTGGAGTGTCTGGAGTGTTTAAAGTGTTGCAATCGCCATGATGGCGTTGTAGGCGTTTGGAGTGTCTGGAATGTTTAAAGTGTTGCAATCGCCATGATGGCGTTGCAGGCGTTTGGGGTGTTTGGAGTGTTGCAATTGCCATGATGGCGTCGTAGGCGTTGAGCTTGTGAAATTTTTAACTACTGCGATGACTGATAAAGCTACGAGATGTCTATTATATAAGTTGACAAGTTTATAAAAGAAAAAGGATAAATCCCCTTTTCTTCCTCTCTCCCTTTTCTATCAAAATGAGCGCTACAAGAACAGATACTATGGTCGATCTTATTGGCACCAAATATGATTCGAAAAATCAGCTCCGAGCAAAGGTTCAAGAGATGGCCCTAAAGAATCAGTTTGCAACATCCACCAAGCGCAGCAACAGTCGGAATATCTACATCCATTGTGTCCTTTGGGGGTGTCTACAGGAACTGTCACGACGGAGAATAAACAATATCTATAAATTTTACAGTAAACTGTAAATTTATAATATTTTATTATTCTGTCAAGCGTTCTAGTAAAATTCTAATTTCATTGAATTTTATCTGAACTGGGCGTCGTCATTCTTCCTAGCCTGTTTTTTCTTAAACATAATAGTTGAAATTAATTCTAGTGGTTGAGAATTTTATAAGGTTTGAGAATTTGGTTTTTTATTTAATAAATTAAATAACATAATTATTTATAATTTATTTAAAATGATATTATTTATAGTTTTTTATTTTTTTGCTATATTATTGAAAACATAATACTAAGACTCACCTTCCAACATCGACGATTATGAACCTGAAAGACTGGTATCCACACAGAGCACCGGTTGTGCTTGGGAGCTCTTTGGCTCATACATACAGAAAATCAAAAAATGGGTGATTAAACGTGTCAGCAGCGCCGATAGCCACAATCATTTATTTGACAGTAACGCAGCAGCATCTTACCATCAACATCGAAAGCCAACAGCTGATATTGCCAGTCGCATCTTGTCAATGACAGAGACTTCTATCAAACCAGCCAAGATTTGTCAAGAGTTACAAAACAACGATGAAGGCACAATCGTGACGATCAAGGATATTTACAATTTCTGCCAAAAAATATTCAAGGACGACAAATCTGGCGCATTCAGCAAACTATTCAGCTTCTTGGTCAGCAATCAATATATCGTAAGATATCGCATAGATAGGAAAACGGAAACATTGGAAGCATTGTTCGTTACGCATCAAGTTGGCTTGGAAAAAGCAAGGCGATTTAAAGAAGTCATCAGTCTTGATGTGACGTATGGAACGAACAACAGCAAGATGCCGCTAATCAACGTTGTTGGGATCAGTAACCTTGGTACGACGTCGCTACACAATATATTAATTGCATCAGCAGTCGTCGTCAATGAAAAAACCGACTCCTATCTGTGGGTTATGAGGACCATGCGTGATACTATTTGGCCCGAAGGTGATGTCGGTATCTTCATTACTGATAACGAGAAGGCGCTCATCACTGCCATCGATACTATCTTTCCGAAATCGATTCATCTTTTATGCGGTTGGCACATGGCGCAGCATTTGATCTCTCAGTTCGGTGGCTGCTTTCCGAAGAAAAGCGAGAAGTACAAGCAAGCCAAGAGCGTTGTGAATTGCTTGATTTACAAGTACAAAGACGAAGAGAAATTCGAAGAAGCAATCAAGGAATATCGCCAACTAGCGGAGGATGCAGCAGCAGCAATGATCGAACAGGCAGAAAAACAAGACATCAAAAAGGCTGAAGCAAAAGAAAAGAAGCTGAACGAAAAAGAAGAAAACGATGAAGAATAAGAAAAGAAGCTGACAAAAAAAGAGGAACTGCGAAACAAAAAAAGGGAAGACAAGGAAATGAAAAAAAGAAACAAAATCGCAGTTGCCCGTAAGACAAAAATCATCAAGTATCTCGAAAGGTATGTATCTCTTACTTTGTAATGGTTTGCTTGAAATTATGTAGATTAAGTATGTGATAAGGGTGATTTAGTTAACTCACTGTACCCTCGCGTTATTTTACGTCTAGTGTGCTCACCTACAAGGATAAATGGGCTGCACCGCAGGCTGGAAAGCAGTTCAACCTTAATGTGCGAACCACATCACGAACAGAAGGGACTCATTGGATCATCAAAGATACTATGCAAACGACGGGCAGCCTCTATCGCACGTTTAAAGCTATTAACGAAGTCATGAAGAAGACAGTAAGCATTCTATATTCTCACTCATCTCCGGTCTTTGCTATTCAATTTATATGTAGCGATATGTAAATAAGCTAACTTTAATGCTTAAAAGTTTGAAACAGAAAAGATGGACTTCATACACGAGCTTCGCAACACTCCACTTTTCACAAAGCGTGAGAGTGCAGCTTTAAGAAACCTTTTCGGCCATGTCAGTTTCTTTGCTTTGATCCGAATTCGAAAGGAGCTTGACCGTGCGTGGAAAAACGTAGGCAATTAAATCAATTGCGACACGTTGGATTGTATTTGCACGAGTAGAATCAATTTTGGTTTACCATACCAGCATATGATCAACCTAAACGGTCCTGCTGTTGATTTGAACGAGATTCCTAAACGTTGGCTTCTACAGTATGATTCAGGTATGTACTATTATACAGCTTCATCTACTAACAATAGCATGTTGTCGATACCCTCTCATATGAATGTGCTTCCTGTGTATTATATAGCTCTATTTGAAATTAAAGATCCAGCGGTATTAGTTGACCATCAGATGGAGAAGCTCGTTACAAACTTAAAGAACAAAATCATTTCCCTGGAAACCGAACAAGAGAAAGTCAATCTCTTATCCCGTTTTGAGGAGATCCTTGAGGAAGACGTTGAGAC